ATTAACACATTTTCCAATGTTTTTTCCCTTAAAAAAATATATATATTGTGATCTGCCAAAAAATCCATTGGGCTCCCTGGAGTGAGCTGCTGTACTGAAATCCCAAGCAATGTTGTCATCCTTGCTCAGTGCCCCTGATGGACTACAGAGCACCTCTTCTGTCCTCATCACCTTACCATGATGGGAGGGGGGTTCCCCATGTTAAGGGCCTGTTAACACCTCTGCACTGCTGCATTACTGCATGTACGGCAATGCATGTTATGCTACGCAATAACAAGCTTTGAATTAGGCCAACCCATTAATATAATAGAGATTTAATTTAGCATTTCCTAAAACAAGATTCTTATTACTAATAAAGGTTAATAAACGAATAAGATGACAGTAATGTTACAGATGTCATCTAAGCTGATGTTAATGTGATCATCCTTGTTGGAAAATGTTGTAATAGCAATGGATGATACATTCACAAGTTATTTTTCAGAATGTACATATTATGGTTTCCACACTATAGACTCTTTTCCTGAAGCCAAAGCAAAAGGTTTGTGTTGAGTGATGGTGTATGGACCATCTTTGTAAATGAGGGAGAGGCTGGGATTGGAAATAGAGATACAGTTTTGTACCTAACTGTAAAAACAAAATAAAAATACCTTCAATAAATATGATTTGATCAAAAAATTATGAAGTTCTGAAATAACAAAACTGAAGTAGATATATTTAAGCTTTTTTCTTAAACTGTTGTTGGCTTTTTCTAATTTCTTGCAAATGTAGACAACCGAAACATGCTTTCAACCCACAAAATTCGCTGTCAGCTGTTATTGGTGGGAGATCACCAAATCTCCCACCAATAAATGTCATTTAAAGACCCAAGGTGTGTAGGCTGCTGGAAGTACCCTAATATGACTGAGAGTCTTTGCAGCTTGCAGCTGCAGGAAACTGACATTTAAAAGTAGAATTTCCCTTTAAAAACATTAATGCTTGTCTAACTGCTATTATTCTGATATTAAGGGATTATGTCACAGTTCTCCAGCAATCTCTGTTGCATGTGTCTGGTAATGTGGTGGTATGGCAAGAATCTTCTATTGATAGAGAGCTGAACAAGGAGATATTATCACTACCAATTTGTTCAACCTCATCTTTATGTATGCAATGGGGGAAGGAAGAGATAACCCTACAGGCACCATAATAAATCATAAATAGAGCGCATATGCTGACGATAATGTGCTAATGGGAAGCATTTAGTGAAAAGATAAATAAACTGGTGAAGATGAATGTAAACCGTAACAAGAATCTTTCCATATTTGCTACCTTTGAGTCTGTTAAGAATACAATTGAAAGTGTTTTGTTAAATTATCAATTTATACATTTTTATTCTTGGGTTTAGTTATACTTTATGGAAGACTACTTACATGATTATTACAAGGAAAGGGAGCAAATTAAATATGTTGTGTAGAGAAAGGATATGAAAGGGTAAAATTCATCTGCTACCAAGGTGCAATGACCTGTCCAAGGGAAAGAAAGCATAAGCAGCTGCTGAAAAGATATGTAATCATTCACTAAAAACAGTTAAGAGATCTAGAATTTTGTCACAAAAATCTAAAACTTATATTTATTATGCCTTTTCCAAGTTCATGACCCAATGGAGTGTATGGATTCACTTTTCCTCCTCCGCCCGACCTACAGCCCTACCTCTAGTGCAATGCCCTGAGGGTGAAAAGGGCACCTCAAGTCTCGATACACAACCTCAGCTCACAAGCTGTGACCCACTCCCTCCCCCCCCAATCCCCTCCCCTCAATCCCCCTCTCTCTTTCTTCTACATTTCTCCCCTCTCTTAGTTTACCTCTTTCGGTTCCCCTCCCTTTCTACAACTTTCCTGACATATCAGGATATTTGAAATGTTGGGCCAGAGAAGGTACCTGCCAATGTTGACATGAGCTACAATTTTTTAACATACACTGGTGACACCCACCGGATCTATAATGTACACATAGTCATCGTGGTGTTGTTCCTCACTATAGTGGAATTATGCGTAACATAGAAAGGCCTTAGCTTTTCGTATTGTGTGACCGAACCTAGGTCACCTTCCCATTAATGCTTGAATGATCACACCAGTACACCATTGCTCAATGCATATATTCATGTAGCCTGATATCCTCGTTGTATATGTACTGATTGTGCTTTTTGTGCCCTTCTTGAGTTTTGATACTGATTGTTAAGGAACTGTTAAAAAAATACTAATAAAAACTGATTCAACACTAAAACTTATATTTATAGAACCAATTGAAAGCTCCAGCATCTCCCAACCTCCAATCTATAGTTAGATATGCAGAAAAAATGTGGGTATTTACAAGAACAGAGGTGGACAGACTACACATGTGAGAAACAATTGTATGGAATTTTTGAGGGAAGCTAATACAGAATAAACAATTCTACATTATTTCTTAATGATCAATTAAAGAATTATAGAACAGCTATAGTCTCTCAGCTATAGTAGCAGATAGAAGTATCCATAATCTTAGATGGCTTGGCCATGTTGTCAGGATGGGAGAAGGAATCCTGATGAAGGTATCTGAAGAACAGTCTGGAAGAAGAAAAGTAGAACCCAAACAAGAGATGGATTACTGCTCTGGAAGTGGGACTAATGAAGCTGGGAGACATAACAAGAGATTAAACCAGTAGCAAGAGACCAGGGGCCAAAATTCTTCAAAGTGTGGAGATGCATGGAATTTATGTACTAAAGGCAAATAGGATGTACAATATGCAAGGGAATTTTACTTTGCCAAGAATACCCAATCACACGCACGGAAAATAAAAAACCTATTTTCACTTGCAAGAGATTGGCCATTGGAAGCCAGTAGAGCTTCATCTGATTCACTAAGATTCCCTTGCAAAGTGAACCGACTATCGGCCTTTAGTAAACCCCAGTAGATGGGGGGTAGGGAGAGAAAGAAATCAAAACTGTTGGGTACAATTCAGAAGAGAAGATAGGAGAAGCTAACAGAGGTTACATAGAAAGGCAATATTTCATCATCCATACACATAGTAAACAAATACAGTTTATGGCTTATTGTAAGGAAAAACTAAGGGGTCTATTCACAAAAGGGTGAAGAGTTTGGAGAAGGCAGGAGAAGGGAACAATCTAGGACAACATAGCTGAACTGGAAAGTGAACTGAATTGGAGAATTTTTCCAAATCTGCTATTTTGTCCTGGATTGTCCTGGATTGTTCACTACTCCTCCAAACTCTTCACCCTTTAGTGAATAGACCTGTAAGTAACTTTTATTATTTGTAAACCCTTTAACATCACCCTTACGGAAGTTGTGACTTTTCAATTACTGGTTTGCCCAAGAGGATTTTATTGACTGGTGATAAGTATTGGTTAATAATTAAAAAAGGTATTCAGAAGAAAAGAAATGTACTGGTGATACTGGTTAATATCAAAAGAAGAAGTACACCCAAACAACATTACAAAATCCAAATGGGATTTTGTTATTCAAATGTGAATCACAGTTCAAACAATTACGCACTATGTTAAACAAATGCAGCTTTATATTTTACAGTTTTGGCAGTTGAAACAAACTGTGAAATGTTATTATCATAATGAATACTATCTGGAAAGGTTCATTCAAGGTGACAAAGAAAAGTGTGCCTGTTTGTTGAAGAGTGTAATATATATAATGGAAAAACATTTGTACATTGTGCACAGTTGAATGAACAGGAAGAGAAGTGTCGTTGGGCAAAAAAGAAAAGGTTTAGGTAGGAAAAAATTAAAATATTTGCACGTTGCTGCTGTTTCTTGATGAAAGGTTTGAGTTGAATTTTTCATTGATCCATAGAGCATGGCTATCAAGATATGGTCATCAGTGTAGGGATCCTCCAACTGGTAGATTTACATAGGCAGGAGAGAAACCATTCTGGGGCTTGCTAAGATTTGTGGTTTTGCACAGCCAGTGGGGATGCTGGTGACGGTATGTAGGTATGGTACTGTATATAAATAGGTCTAACACATGCTCTTTATTATAATTATGCGTAAAGACCTTTACATCTGAAATCCAGCTTTACCTTCAGTATTGCGCAGCCTTACCTTCAGACATGCAGTGTTGTACAGGCTCCTCTTCTGTACCGATATTGCTTACTCTGATTGCACTGCACACTGTGTGCTTCTTACAATTTGCATTAGATAGAATTAGACTAATTAGAATAGAAGTTCACCTTATATACTGGGTGGAGGACATCCAGCATTATCTACCCTTTCCTCCCCAACCTGACTGTCTCTGGTCCGCCCCTTTCATTCAATGGACTTTAATTCTTTCAATCATGGAGGCTCAGCAGCATGTTTGGGTGTTACCTTGCAAATGCAGCCGGCCTATGAACAACCACTTGTAATATTTCTCCTCCCAAGAGCCAAACCACTGTTTGCATCAGGGTTCAGGGCTCTGAGAGAAGTATTGAGGCAGGGTGTTGTGATGTTTTCAGGAAGTTATGTACAGCAACCTGCTGGCCTATCCCACAGCTATGATCTGCCTGCATTGCATAAAGAAGCACAGAGACAAAGTGATGATATCACTATGACTTAAATAAGGAATTTATTGAAAATAGAAATGTTGTATTGAAAAATTGTATTAGCATTTTGATGAGGAGAGAATGGAGGGGCCAGGTAAGGCAAAATATAAGCAGATTAAAGTTCAGCTTTAAAAATATTTGGTCTCTGAAGTTTGCTGCCATATACCTTATTTGAACGTAAAATGTGACCCTCAAGTATTAACCCCTTCGTGACGGGAGACGTACACTGTACGTCCAGCCACAAAGGGACCAAATGACTTGTCACGTACACTGTACGTGACGAGTTATTTGCTGCTTTAGAGGGCTGTTAATCGCTGAGAATCAGCTTTTAACATTCATTAATGTATGCCCTTACTACAGAGGCATTCATTAATGAAAGGGTTAACCTTTTTCAGACACCCGATACCTTAATATCGTGTGTCTGAGAGTCAAAGCAAAGCGGACACAGATGCCGGCTTTTGCCGGCATTCTGACAGCTCGTATAGATCGAGAGATATCTCTCTCAAGCTATACTGGCTTTTTTTTTTTTTCTTCATGAATAGATACAAAATGTGTCTATTCCTACAATGTATCTATTCCTGGAAGAAGAATGTTTGTTTGCTGATCGTTGTTGCAACAATCAGAAAACATTTAGTAACAGCTGAATCCTGAACTGCTGCAGGATCAGTGTCACTAACTTATTATCGGCTGTTCTGAAGTTTGAAGCAGCCTGATAATAACCAAAAATTTATTAATTTATCATGCAGTAACAGTGAGATTAATTCACAAAATCTGCTTGATATAATTAAATAAATAAAATAACATTTTTAAGTTAAAAAAAAAAGTGAAAAGTGTAAAAAAAAAAAAAAATTGTGAAAAGTGTAAAAAAAATAAAAAAATGTGTAAAAAATAAAATAAAATAAGGGACAAATAAATGAATGTATTTATTGCATTTTTTTAGCTGTGCTGGTTTTGTAAAAAAAATACTACAAATCAAAACTGGGAAAAAAGTGTTTTTTTTAAACGGTTTTTTCCTCTTTTTTTATATTTTATTTGTCCTAAGTGAGGCGTTAGACGCACATATGTGATATAAATATGTAGCCCTATCTGTCCTCTAAAAAACAATATATAATATGTGTGGGTGCACTTTGTAAGAAAGTATATTACTGACGTGGAAGAATCACACAGCAAAAATGTCAAAAGTGTGTCAGTCATTTACGAACAGAAACTAAAAACAAGCTCAGTCATGAAGGGGTTAACAATGTCACTTGTGATATATCCTCTAACACCATAACAGCAGTCTCAAAGATGTATCTTATGAAACCATGATGGAAAACAGAAGTATAGTTATTTCCTTCTCCCACATTTGAAATAGACCATTAATAAATGGATAGTTCTCAAAAAAAGTACAATCACTGTACATGGAACAAAAGGTGCCACTATAATTGTAATCAACAATAATCTCACTCTCTATTCACTTTTTATACGTTTGTAAATCAGAAATTCAACCAATCCAACAAATGCTGTCACTGCCACAATCCATACACTGCACTGTATGTTATATACTCTAGACCAGTGGTAGCCAAACTTCTGTTTGCTGTGGAACTACGAGTCCCATAAGGCATTGCAAGACTGGCAGCCGCAGGCATGACTTCCAGAGGCTGGAGGGACGAAGTTTGGCTACCCCTGCTCTAGACAAACACTCTCCATACCTGTTGTATGTTGCATACCTTAGACTCCCCCAAAATATACATGGCAATGCTGCTTACATACGCTGGTTTGCCACATTTCCTATGCTGCTATGTACGTTCTATGCACCACTCAACTGTGTACATTATATTCCATACCACTCCACTCGGTAGACTGTGCTTTACATAATATGCTGTATGCATAATCATTCGAGTCAATATTTTTTCCCAGTTTTTTGTGGTAAAATTAGGTACCTCGGCTTATATTCGGGACGGCTTATACTCGAGTATATACGGTACATGCTATATGAACGCTAAAAATGTTTTAGACTTTGGAATTCCACCCTGTTAAAAGGGCATCTATGGTCAAAAACTAGAAATAAATCTGTATATCTATATTACATTTCTATACGTTCTATCCCACTCCTAATAACCATACCCATCTAGAAGTTTGTAAACTTATTGAATATGTCCATAGGATGCACTTCCTCAATACACTGACACAATTTCACTCAGCCCTGTAAATATACACTTCCTTGTGCCACAGCTAAATCTGTTTTGCTGCTGAATTATAATAAATGTGATATTTTAAGAACATCCCTGTCTGTGGGATGGTGGAGCAGGAGCCTTTGCTGTGCACCAGGGTCCCTGCAGGCATGCAGATTGGACAGGAGTAGGTTTGACCTGGTTCAAAAAATATTATTTACAACTCTCACAGAGCCTGCCTTCTGAACTATAACTTCACAGCTGAACAATGTAACATTATCATTGCTAGCTGGAAGCAATGTATGATGGGAATCATATAGAAATTGAAGTCTTGAGAAATCGAGATTGCATTACATCAAGCAGCAGCTAAAGAGATACAAAGGGGAATCCATGAAGTTGATGAAAGTGATGGGCAGACAGAAGGCAGCACTCAGTACATAAAAGGGATTTCTTCAAGTAAGCTTTGATTGTATTATCAAAAACAACTCTAGTATGTATTCCTATTACCATGCTGATGTTATAACAAGATAGTTGTCACAGTTCAGCTGCAGACTTGCAGCAGGGCTGTTACTTGTAGTTCTACAAGTATATACATATCTCTTACCCCTGGTTTTGCAGGAATGCAGGGCTGTGCTGGTGCTTGTAGTCCTCCAGACATGTGCTCTGAACCGGACTCACTCTTGCACCTGTCTGCAAGCTTTAGGAGGCGGCCGACCTTTCCTGCTGTTTCTTATGCAGCTTCTTGGCCAATCAGTGCAGTCTCCTCCCTCTTTCTGTCTCTATTTAAACTCAGGGCAGCGAACGGCACGCTGCCCAAGCAACGCTTTCCTAAGCTAGTTGCCAAGTCCTCCATTTGTGATTTACCCTGAATTCCTGGAAGTTTTCCCGTGTACCGAACCTTTGGCTTGTCCTTGGAAATCCCTGTCTACTGGCTGCCCTGTGCTTCCCTTTTGACCTTGGAAATCCCTGTCTACAGGCTGCCCTGTGCTTCCCTTTTGACCTTGGAAATCCCTGTCTACTGGCTGCCCTGTTCTTCCCTTTTGTCCTTGGAAATCCCTGTCTACAGTCTACGCTGTACTTCGCTTGGTCCCTGGAAGTCTTCAGCCTGTCCCTAACCTTTGATTTGTACCCTGTACCTGTTAGGTGAGTTGGGTGGACCAAAGGATTGTGACCTGGGGGTCAGCACGCAGCCAAGCCCATCTCCACCATCAGGAGCTCTGGCGAATACCGGCTGGCTCTTAGATTCCCCATCCTGGGGAACCCCTGTCACCTACTCAGCATCCCATGCCACCTACCCTGCCTTGTATTTGAACTTCCAGCTTTAGCTGACTTCCACTGCCTCATTCAGTCCCCCTGCTTGTACTCAAGCTCTGGGAGTCATCAGCCTACACTGCTTGGACCCTTTTCTCTGAGTGTCCCTGCCAGTGTAGTGGAAAGGGTCCACATACCGGACTCCAGTTCATACCTGGGAGTCCCAATCCGTGACAATAGTATATGCTATGACTTCAGAACATCTTTAAAGACATATTTTTGCTAGTCACATTATAAATCCAAATCAGAGAAAGATATATGAAGTTGAGCCCTTATGTGTAAAACTACTTTCTTAGTTTGCCTTTCTTGACCAAACTTGCTGTATAAAGATATTCATATTTTTATATGGTGAGGGAATTTCTATGGTTTGATTGTAGTAGAGTGATGAGACTTTTGTTACGAATGATATATAATTTGTCATATTGCCATACTAGCGCCTCAATGATATAAATGTCCTACGGTACCGTAATGGGTGCAAGCAGCTGCTCCACCACAAAATTAGGAATATGTAATATTCTTACCAGTGGTAGTAGTGAACGTTTATATACCCACATTTTTTTTGCTTTTTTTTGTCCAAACATTAATAGAATGTTTACTCGTAAAATAACTGACTCAGGCAGTGACAAAAATGGAGAATGACAGCAAATAGGAGCATTTCCAATGCATAATTCAATTTATTGCATCACATTATACAAGCATAAAATGTATATTTATACTCAAGAACCCATTATTTAAAGTTTTAAAACTGAACATTCTCTTTAGTTTTGGCTATGTACAAATGATGTAGCTCCTGGAAATATGTACACGTATATACATTTATATAGGATGTACAATAATATAGAAATTTCCTCAGAAATATCTGAAATACAAAAAACGTGTTGCACTGTAAACAAGGTTGCAGTTCCAAGTCTGGTGATCGAATGGAAGATATCCTATGAGCCAAAGAATGGTGGCAGGAGTATTCATAGATCTGTAAAACAGACAGGAAGCAAAATGCAGAAAAAGGTACAAAAAAGGTGGAAAAATGTCCGACTGTGTCCCTTTTCTACACACGGGTTTAAATGGTAGAGGACGTCTTCCACTGATCACATGCTTGCTGTTTAGCTAGAAAGACTGCAATATCACATTGCAAGATGTATTCACAGTAGATCAGTTCTTGCTGGGTACTAATGCTGTACTGCAGCTTGAATCTGGGTTCCATGCAATAGGCTGTGAAGTAGTGCAGTGGTACTGGTTATTGTTCTCTGAAAAAGAAAACAAAGTGGTTAGTGGCTTGAAAATGACATAATTTGGATATAGAATAGCTTTAATAATATAGGCACAAATAGTAAAGTATGTGCCTCAAAGCGAGATTAACTTTTGATAAAGTGAACCTATCACCTACACAGCGCTGCCTCTATAGAAAGGTAGAAATTTAGTTTTAGGTTGTGCCCTTTATGGGGAGCATTAAACAAGATGTTTATCTAGCCTCCTCACCTCTATTGCTAACATTAATATTGGGGTATCAATGCGGCACAGTGGTTTAGAATCTGCATTCTGCCCAATGTTTGTGGAGGTTTTGGGACATCCACCACTAGGCAGCAAAATATTGCCAGCACAAGAAGGAGGCTGTCTTATTCTGTGTGCAAAAAATTAATTTTCCAGATTTTGGTAACTGCTTCTCCATCAGTTTTACATTTTCAAACAGTACATTTACTGATTTCCCTAATTTCTGCAGCTCTTTGCAGCTATATGCACTAGGTTTGAATATTACTGTCATTCCTACCTAGGTCCCTGAAGCATATCACCTCCTCTTTTCTAGTACAGCACTTAGGACACTTGCTTTGCGATTGGAAAGTTACTTAACTAACCAAAATGTTTCTTTATGCATAATATGTCCTGACATATTGCTTGGCATTACACTCCATGCACACATCTGCTAGTCAAAAATGTTAACTTTTGAGATAATGGGGTTGATTACTAAAGACAAATAGGTTGCCCAGTTTGCAAGGAAATTTTCAAGGTGGAAGTTTGAAAGAGTCTGGGTACTCTTTGCAAATTCCTTTTTTTCAAAGGAAAAAAAACAAACAAAGAGCATTTTTGCTTGCACATGATTGGATGATGGAAGTCAGTAGAGCTTCATTGTATTCATTAAGCTATGGGAAAATTCCCCTCCAAAGTGAACAGCCTATTTGCCTTTAGTAAATCAACCCCATTAGTTTTACAAGCTCAGATGGGGGTGCCATTTATTCTTACTTTTGAATGGGCAGATTCCATTGCAGTCATTCTTATCTTTGCAACACTGCTTACTGTGGTGCTGACCTGGAACAAACATGCAGTCAGCCAAGTGTATGAACAGCTGACTTGTTCTGGTTCTACCAAAGCAAGGTAGGGATGACTACCCGGAACCTTGTGCCCCATAAAATAAAAGTCAGTACTTTGCAAGTTCTCTTTATGCTGGCCCTAAGTGAGGGGTCAGAATAACTAGATCCTCAGATAACCCAGACATGCACATTTAGGATTCAGTACATGTAGGTTGAGGAATTAAGGGGAATACCAGCACATGTGAAAAAAAGAATATCAGACAAAGAAAACGGCAGCCTTCCTGTTGCTACACCTTGGAATCCAAGCTCTGAGATCTGCAAATACAACAGCTTACACACTATACATGGAAAGATTCTTGTATGATTGTGCTGAAAATTATTACATTGCACCATCAACTTGCATGCCCAGCTCAAGTTCACTAACAGTTATAACGAATATAACTATCAGTGGAATACATTTTAGATTGGCTTTTCTAGGGCAGGCAGGGATCCACATTTTGTTACATAGGGGAGTACACTAAAAATTATAACAAATGCTATAGAAATTAGATGCAAGGATTATCCTACAGTGAACATCTTCTGCTTATAGGAGCAGCAAGCAAATGTGAAATCATGTCTCACTTTATTCACAGTTAGGGCCACTCGTTATTCTGGCACTTCCCGTTTCTCTTCCTCTCTTTCTTCTCTTTCTGCACTCTTTCCAGTTCTGCTTCATACATCATTTCTTGGATGAGGTATTTTTCTCTCCGCATTCGATCCCTCAGGTCTTTGGGAAGGTCAGGTATCAAATAGGAGATCAAATTCTTTATGCAAAAAACAAGATGCTGTAACACAAACAATATGGTGAAGGTCATGTAGAAAACGTTAAACATATAGAAGTGAATTACAAAATGATTGACACCTACAAGCAGTGATAGACAGTTCTCAATTGTTTCATATAATGTCATGGGTACTTAATTTTTGTAATTTTAGCATTGAGGCAGTGTGTAAACATTAACAGTAGATAAAGGTTACAATTATGATAGCACATTTTGAGGAGATAGTATCATATCAATATTTTAAATGCACAGCACTAAAAAGGGAGAACCAGTAGTGTCATCCAGTCAGGTTCTACTGCACTGCACTGCACAGTGCTATCAATCTAATGCTGGAGACTTGCTTACAGGAGAGGAAAGCACAGAGATGACCTCAAGGGATACATCCAAGAGGCACAGGGAGTTCAATGCTTATTTGTACACAGCAGTGAAGGGAAATGAAACATTTGGAAAGTTCTCTGGCTCTGGTTAGGCAGTATGCAAACAGAGCTGCCCTCCAATAAATACCCAGAAAGTCGCTAAAAATCATAAACCAACAGAAGGAATGCCAGATCATCTTGCTTTTGCCAGGAACACTGCTGCCACTGCCGCTAATGTGGGCAAAATTGGTAGAGATTTGACCTATACAGAATAATAAAGGAGAGAGTCCAGTTTTATTAGACCTTACGCCCTGTTGAAGGGGGAGGTTTTTTGGCCCCTTAAACGCATTGGCTGTTTTATTGTAAACCAATAAAGTGATTTGGACTCTTCTATGCTTTTGGTCTGGCACGTTTTCTGTTGGTTAATGCTTTCAATCAGCAGGATGAGTCAGGGATGTGTTCTTCAAGTGCAACAGAGAAAAATGTGTCACCCTCCTGGTTACACCACAGTGAAGCAGATGTGTAAAAATTACTAAAGTGGCTGAACAGAATCACGCATATTCTAGCTAGTGTAACAAGGACACTCCACTGTAGACCGGAGGTGCAAGTAAAATGCAGTTTATTTGCTTTCAAAACGGTAGATAAAACGAAATCCAATATAAATAGCTTGCTGTAGCATATAACAGATAAGGGCTCACCAATCCTCGAGTTGTCCCGTACACTCAAGGTGTCCCAGTCTTTTCATAAGTTTCTCTTGCAGCACTGCTGCTCCGGCCTCAATCTTTAGGGCCACTGTCTGGTTCCTCCAGACAACGGCAATAACATGCCAATCCTCTCAATATGGTTCACAAACCCGCAGCTCCCTGCTGCACTGGCCTCCACACTGACTCCAGGGTGGAGCTCTCCTGACTCACAGGTGGGGCCCTGAACACATCCCAGCACACTCTTCATGAGGGATGTACACATGTGCACAATCAGGTGCTGGTCACTACCAAAGCATGGACCCAGGAATGGAGATTTCGTCCCACCCAGAGCTCTAAGAAATCTCCTGGCTCCAGGATCCCAACTATGATCCAGAAAACCCGGAAAGAACTGAAAAAGCAGTTCTCTCCTGGTACACGTACTTTCTTCCTGGAGCCACTCAGCCCCTCTGGCTGAGAACCCTGGGTGACTTTGAGGCCACCTAACACCGTGGTATTGCCTCACAATGCCACACTAGTTAAACAGTTAACATATACTATACACATATTACACTTAAGTATTTCAAGTGTATATTCAGTGTTTTGACCAAAATTCAGAATTAAACACTTATATGTGCCAGTTGTTTTTATCACAGAGGGGTTCGTCAAGGTAACACAAAATGTAGAAACATATAAACCGTTTAAGAATATCACAACTAATTGTTATTTAAGTGCAACATACTGGAGAAGTCAGTAAATATACAGCTATTGTTGGAATAAGCTTAGGGAAAATGTCTCATGTAAGAATGGCTGAGTATATTGTCATGCAATGTTACAGGTACCCATCTGCCTATTATATAATCAGAAAACCAAGTATTGATGAAAATGTAAGCATTTCATGAATATTTATAAATGTATTATAATGGGTAACAGTCTTTCAGAATGTACAAAAATAACAGTTATATTAATTAATATAACAGATGACAATTGAGGGTAGGAAATTATGTTCTCAGAAAATACAATTAGTCCTGAACTAAATATAGATTTTAAATCTTGCTCATAAGAGATGAAGAATTCAACAACTAACCCTTGTGTGTATGCGGCTGACTATATTTATAAGATTGAAGAAAATAGGTCACCAGCACTCCATAAGTTAAAATGAATGAGTCCTTTTAATGGACAATGATGTCACAGAAATCCAACATGAGCCGACGTTTCGGGGCCACACAGGGTCCCTTCTTCAAGGCAAGGTCACATCTCTTGCCTTGAAGAAGGGACCCTGTGTGGCCCCGAAACGTCGGCTCATGTTGGATTTCTGTGACATCATTGTCCATTAAAAGGACTCATTCATTTTAACTTATGGAGTGCTGGTGACCTATTTTCTTCAATCTTGTGTTTTGCACGGTGCCATCCGTGAAGTTACTTCGAGCACCATTTATTTGATTGTTGGCCGGGACTGCTGAAAGGTGTGCGGAGGGCACCTCCATCAATTGCATCTGACTATATTTATACTTTTCAAAGAGACTGTTTGCTACAATATGAGACCTACTTAAGAAAGCAGGACTAAGCAAAGACAGATTGCCAAGGCCATGAGGATGGAACCACGCATTGTGATAGGATGGGGTTATAAGGTGTATACAGCACTGTATACTGTATGTGCATTGCCCTTCGCTGAAGTTTTTTTTAATTTGCAGCCCAAAGCACACATACAGGGCACCACAACACACAGATCTATACACGGCATTGTTGTGTATTAAATTGGAAAATAAGTTGCAAGTGTTTTATAACCTGTGTTATAAACACAAAATGAATAAGCTGCCCTAATGCAACACATGGTAATACATGAAACAACGCAGGATGAAGGATTTGGTTTCCTATATAGCTGCAGATTGGGAACACAACAAATAGACCACAGTAGGGGTCACAGGAGGATATATACTAACGTCCTCCCGTGACCCAAAGCTCAGTATAGAGCAGGCTATTGCCCACTCTATACTGAGAGCGCCGCAGCCAGGACAGATCCCAACATTACTGTCGAGATCCACCCAGCTGGCTGATTGACAGCGGGTTCTGCCTATATAGAGGCAGACACAGCTGTGCCCGCTCCCTCCCCTCTCCGTTCCTCCAGCCAGTGCTGGAGGATCGGAGAGGGGAGGGGGGAATCTCTGCGGGGAGCAGTGACTGACAGTCAACGCTCTCTGCAGGGAGATGATCGGGAAGTGAGTGAGCGATGCTATGTGTTTGCTCACTTCCTGATCAATAGAGCCACCGTGTGACAGTTTCAATGTCACACGTCGGCTCTAACTATGAGGATGAATGTAAATGACTCACTTCATAGTTCTCCTTTAACAATCACTGTCAGGCTTTTTTAAATACCGTATATACTCGAGATTTTCAATTTTTCCCAGTTTTTTGTGGTAAAATTAGGTACCTCGGCTTATATTCGGGTCGGCTTATACTCGGGTATATACGGTATTCTATTGGGTACATTGGCATAATTTTAGGTTTCCTATTACTTACTGTCCCAGTGGCAATGTCAGTAGGACAAAGAGAGGGATGATTTCACCCATCGGGGACACCGCAATAAAAACCTGAGATAATCTAACTCATCGCCAATCTATCCAAAACAAAACATCTTTTGACTACAGATACATTTTAATTGCACATACCAAAACCTCTCTTGCATTTACCATGGCCAATAAATCCACATATATAGCCAAGCTATGCCAGCATGATAACTCTTTATAATACTAGAAGCCATAAACAGAAAATAACATCTCCCCGTTTGTTTCTTGCAGCAAGTCCACTTTCCTCTATATTAGTCTTTATGTATCAGCAATGTACAGACCTTAAATATAAAGCTTATGTAATCTTACCTCAAATACAATGATGAAAGCTAAGCGTGCAGCAAGAACATGCCAGAACTGCAGAGTATAAGCATAGGGCTCAGGACCATGAGGTGGATTTCTGTAGTCTCGGTACCTGTGAACATGGAACATTTTTTACCAGGTGAGAAAAGTGCATGAAGGAAATCTCAGGCAATCAAACATCAAGGTACATTTATAAAAGAGGGCTGATATATTAGAAATGGAGGAAAGGAAGACATAGCAGTACATTGCAGTTTTAATGTAACATGAACAAGCACAAGGGACCACATAAGATCATTCTGCTAGGCCATACATGGCGGATGAGAGCGAATACTGGCTCAGGCTGCAACTGCTGGAACACCTGCTTGTTTGTCAGTGAGCTGATTGCTTACAATGTTCAACAACTTATCTTTTGTCCAAACTAATTCTGAAGAAGTATTGGCGCAATTAATAATTCATAGAAATATATGATAACAATCTAAGGCAGGATCTAATATTTGTTAAGTCATAGCTGGGGATTTGATGAAAATATTGTACTGAAAGAGTAAAGTAATTTCTAACAGATGAGCAGAAGCTATTTCTTGTGAACAGAATATTGGAAATCCAGAATACATTTTTCTTACCGGCAATATTTTACAGGTGAGCCATTAAATCTTCTTGCATGAAACTCAGAATCTGAGCGATTCTCAAAATTATTTACTAGGAAGACAGAAAGGCTTGCATTTACATACCCGACCATGCACCTTTTCAAACAAAAAAAAAAAACAAGTTAGTGCACGTGTTATAAATACACTCTAAATTCACTTTTAAATGGACTTAATACTGTGGATATGAGAACCCAATAAGTAAACATAAATATATTAGGCTAAACAACCTGTGGGAACAATTCACTTCTTAATAAAGGCTTCTTCAAATGGGTATTGGACCGCAAAACCATTGGGAGGAGTGAACAATTTTTAAGGAGTTCTCCAGCCAGCCCACAGAATGTCTGGAAATAGTGTGTGCATGGTAATGGTTTTAGTAGTCTTTGGGCCTCTGATGGACCTTAGACTTGTAGTAGAACTAGTAAGAGCTATACGCTGCACTTCCAACTTTAGGTTGGCACACACTGCATCAATAAGAAACAAAATGGTTCCTTCCAAGCCTCGGTGTAATGGTTGTTGCCTGCGACTCCTTATGGACAACCTCGTCCGGCAAGGATATTTGAGACTCTTGATCAGATAGAGCCTCTGCAACCAACGGTTCAGAAGCCACTAAGACTGCAAGCAGATAACATAATGATTCTCCATGGGAAGGTTTTAAGGTATGCTTATGTCCTCTGCGCTCAGAGCCAGCAATTAAAATCGCAGTTTAGCTCATAAAATTCTGCGGTAAAATAAGTGCGGTAAAATCCTCCTGGTTAAAACCAAGGAGGGGACCACACCTGCCTTTGCCAAGGAGGAATGTAAAGACTCAAACAGGGGACAACTTTCCAGGCTTTTGAGGTTTTTGGCTGGGAACACTGCAGGCCACTCCAGAAACATTAGTGATTTGTTAGTTGAAAAGATCAGATTTAGTAGGACTTCTCCTCTTGTGTTTGGGATTCAATATGTTGCACTACAAGGGGAACAACTCCAAATAGCAAGAAAAAACCTTGAGCACTTATGAACCAAATGCTGGAAGCAGGAAAGGTTCAAAAGGCTGGAGGCAGTCACTGTAGGCGGCAACAAGGCCCAACCAAGGTGAAACTCTTGCAATAAGGAACAGTGGCACGAAAGTCCTACCTCATGATGAAAAGAACTTAGAGTGGGTGCGTGAACTTCGAGCAGCTTTGTTGAAGCCTTTGAAGAACTCTTCAGTTCCAGTTTGGGAATGTTAAACACAAATCCTAATGTGTGTAATGACCATTAATTTAAGCAAGCTGCTAGCAGGCTTCATCAGGTTTTCAATAAGATGCATGTAGTGCTATAGCCCACTTCAGCCTGCTAGCAGCTTGTTTAATAGTTTTATAATTGCTTAACAGTCAGCATTGCAAATAAGATCTGTGTTTAATATTCTGAAACTGGAGATGAATAATACTCTTAGTGCTTCAACTAAGCTTGACGAAAGCTCTGCAAATGCTTTGTAAAAGCTCGATCTATACAAGCTGAAGGCCATGTGAACAAGGCCTAACTATAAATGATCTTATTACAGAGCTTTCTGGGAATAGTTTGTATATATGCACATGGGAGTATTCATAGTTGCTTATTACACAGGAAGGCTTTTTTCTACTTCACAGTGATGCTCATTAATTGTTCATTACTGCTCCCTTGTCTCAAAGTAAGCCCCTAAGTCAGGTGAGACCTGAAAAACAGACTCCCTCTCTATAAAGTTAAGGGACTGATCCAACGACGTGCTTTTAAATGATCCAGCGAGCTTTTGGGTGAGCTTCACATGGGTTCCTTACAAGTCTACGGGAATGCAAAACCTGCTTGAAGCAGGTCAAATGCAGGCAAAATGCACCTGTCAATAAAAAATGAAGAAATAAGAAGGTAGACATTGACATTCTTCTTCTGAAATTGTTGCCTAACTGTCTCTGCTTCAATTATTAAGAATCACCTTGAACCAGCATGCACCTAGTCAGAACACCTGATCAACATACTTGTTCTGTGTTAGTGATAAACAGAAGAACATTACATTTACAGATCTCTATATGAATGTGTAACAGAAAAAAAAAAGATTAGACCCTTTGTTAGGTTTTATTGTGTCCGTTAGGGAAATTTTCCCTTCCAAGCACGTTTTCAGCAGAGGAAGAAGTAAGGGAGAATCCCCCAATGGGGACAACCGATCCTGTGACAACTAAGATGTGAATTCTGTTCACTTTGGAGAGATTTCCTCTCCTTTCCTTTTGCCTCTCCAAGACAGCAAGTGAAGGGACATGTGCCCAGTGGGACACAGGTAGCAAACAATAACATGATAGAGGCTTTAACCCCTCCCTACTCTATCTAAAATTAAATAGAAATTATTTGGCTTTACATACAGTTCTATAAGATCTGTTATACTTGAAGCAGGATAGTCAAATAAGCATAACAAAAAAAATTGAAGCAAAGATCACAAAAACATAAAAATCTTTACACGGAGGTTAAATATCATAATATTTTTAGGCTATTACTGTACTTTTCTCCAGCTTGTCCTAGACCAGCACAAGGTCCATATTTGTAAGCATACACCAGCCGAGGGATGAAGTCTGAGGTCACCGCTATAACAAATGCATTGGTAATAACAGACAGAATCCCGATGCCTTCGAGAATCCCATACCAGATACCTGTTCAAGACAATAATAAGAAAGAAAGCGAAAAAATATCATTTTAAGGGGTACATGAGGCCTAACAATGGACTTTTTTGGTCTGATAAATATACCATTGAGTTTTGTGATAGCTGTCTTATAAGGGCAAACACATATATATCTTGTAAGAAATCTTACTGATGACCTAATTAACACTCTGCCTGTGATGGTTGTCATCAGTTACATTGTTCCTAGCTCTTTCCATTTTGACTACAGAACAGCTCCTCCTGTGCAGGGGTGTGGAAAGTTTTTAGAAAACTACTTGTACATGGACTAAATTGGGGGCCCAATCTACTTGTCTCTCATGACAATTAACTTGTCGTGATACAAAAAATATTTTTAACCTAAATGGTATTTAACTGTGCTAAGAAGCGCTTCTCATTGGTCAGCGCAGTCACCTGAGTGCTGGCAATTTGCAAGCAATATTCAAAATCCATAGCGCAGGACTGCTTTGTACACCCGTAGCGGCAGAGGGGAAGGACCACTCACCGTAAGGTAAGTATAGCTGGAGGGGTAATTCCATTTCCCAAAATTACTTGAGAAAATGAACTTACCCTTTAATGCACATTGTGCATGTTAGAGAGCGCTGCTGCCTGACTACCACAATATGGCACACAGTGGAATGGGAGCAGCACTCAGCGCATACACACAATGCACTATGAGTGCGTTTATTCGCATGCAGATGGCCAGGTAAGCGGGGTTGGTTTTAAATATTTTAAATTTTTATTTATTTCATTATTTTTTCCTTTTTATCACATAATTTTTTCATTCTTATTTATGCTATTATTTTTTTTCACTTAACTTTATTGATATCACACAGGGCAAGCCCCTATGCGATAGTGTTTGGAGGCAGGGCAGCCATCACAAATTTCGGGGCCCCTTACACAGCTTTAGGCCTGGGCCCCCCCCGCACCGCCGCCACACTGAGCCAGTCACATTAGTCTCTGCACATAGGAGCTTACACTCTAAAATGTTTGATATTGTCGTTTTTTGAGGTTTCGCGCACACACACAATTTTAAGGCTTAAAGGAGAACTATGGGGTTAAGGCTTTTCCCCATAGTTCTCCTTAGGGTAACGGGAGGACACAAACTAGCGTCCTCCCGTTACCCTAGGCTCAGTATACTGAGACGCCGCAGCTGAAGTGGATCCCGACAATTATGCCGGGATCCGCCCAGCTGCGTGACTGACAGCTGGCTCTGCCTATCTAGAGGCAGAGCCAGCTGTAACCGCCCCTCCCCAGTCTGTTCCGCCAGTCAGCGCTGGCGGATCGGAGTGGGGAGGGGGGAATACAGTCCCTCCCCTGTCACGGCAGAGAGCCTTGACAGGATCGAGAGGTGAGCGAGCGACGGTATGTGTTCGGTCACCTCCCGATCTACTCAGACGACCTGTGACAGTCTTATTGTCACAGGTCAGCTAGAACTATGAGGGGAGTGAAAAGCACTCACCTCATAGTTCTCCTTTAACATGTTTGCTGTCTTTTTACCCGACGTGACCCCGCCTTTTATATTTTACCAAAAAATTGGTTAATAATAAATGTTTTATAATTTATTATAGGAGAACAGTTTTGTTTTTTTTACATTTTGGTAATATTAAACACCACCAAACGAAAGCTCCATGAGTCCCCCAAAAAATAGTACAAAATTAGTTTCAGTACAGCGTTGCATGACGGAATAAATGCCATTCAAAGTACTGCAGCGCTAAATACTGAAAAATGGCCTGGCCAGGAAGGGGGTGTGTAACACCGCCAGCTTCAAGTGGTTAAAAAAACATTTCTTAATTTTTTTATTGTTACTTTAATTTTTAAAAACATTTTTCACACTCAGCTTTATTGCTATCACATAGGATACAAGTCCCCTATGTAAGAGCAAATATAATGTGACAGGTCCTCTTTATGGAGACATCAGGGGTCTTGCAGACCCCTAGTGTCACCTAGGGACTCCAAAGAAGCTGATGAAGCCGAGATCTGCTTCATCAGCTTCTTCTTGTGGCTCTAGGAGCCGGAGACTGTGCCCAGTGACACCAGAAGTGATGAAATGCACCTCCCTTCCGATGTTCAGTGATCGGAGGAGAGATCCGTGGCTAGAAGCTGCTGATCTCTCCTCTGATCTGTCAGTGGAGACCCTACACGTACCCCGGGCTCACACGAGGGACAGATGAGCCCGGGAAGCTGATGGCAGCACCGGCGGCTGCAGAGGGGGACACGGCACCGTATTGTACAAGCTATCCGGCGTCTATACAGACGCCGGATCAGTTGTATTTAAACAGCAATCATGGTTGAAAAAAACACACACATCACACACATATCACACACTCATTAAAAAACACACACATAGCTTCATTAAAAAATAAATAAATACACACACTCATTAAAAGTGTGCTACTCGCGGCGGCCATGTTTAAAAACCTAATGTGCAGTGGACACAGGGGGGACACCGGAGGCTAGCACAGCATTCGAGGATACGATGTGGAGTGTGCGGGCCCCGGCTTCCTACGGTGCTGAGGGGCCCGGCCACCTTCAGTCACCTGTACGGCCGTCACCCAGGTAAGGTTTGCGGGCCCCTGAGGCTGGGCGGGCCCCTTACTTGAGTGTCGGTTGTACCCCCCTGACGGCGGCCCTGTTTGGAGGTGACAGGTTCTCTTTGAAGCCTGCCCTCCAATACAGAAAATCGAGCACAGCATTGTGCTCGATTGCCTGTGCTCTGCTTGTGACAGCTGAGACAGAAAACACTGTGAGTACAGGGCTCCTGTCTCACTGATCACACAGCGCAGATGGGAAAACGGACAAGGAGAGGGGAAGTGTTCTGTATTTCTGTCCTAGGTGACAACACTAGGAGGAGGAGAACGGTACTTGCCTGACTGCATTGTGCCTAGTGTAAAGTTTGGTGGAGGGGGGATTATGGTGTGGGGTTGTTTTTCAGGGGTTGGGCTTGGCCCCTTAGTTCCAGTGAAGGGAACTCTTAAGACATCAGCATACCAAGACATTTTGGACAATTTCATGCCCCCAACTTTGTGGAAACAGTTTGGGGATGACCCCTTCCTGTTCCAACATGACTGCCCACCAGTGCACAAAGCAAGGTCCATAAAGACATGGATGAGCGAGTTTGGGGTGGAGGAACTTGACTGGCCTGCACAGAGTCCTGACCTCAACCCGATAGAACACCTTTGGGATGAATTAGAGCGGAGACTGTGAGCCAGGCCTTCTCGCCCAACATCAGTACCTGACCTCACAAATGCGCTTCTAGAAGAATGGTCAAACATTCCCATAGACACACTCCTAATCCTTGTGGACAGCCTTCCCAGAAGAGTTGAAGCTGTTATAGCTGCAAAGGGTGAGCCAACCCAATATTGAACCCTACGGACTGAGACTGGGATGACATTAACCTCCCTGGCGGTATTCCCGAGTGTAGCTCGGGGTTACTTTTCCATACCATAAGCGATAACCCCGAGCTACACTCGCAAATGCTGCATAGCATTTACTTACCTTGTTCCCCGAGCCGTGTTCTGCGGCCGATGCCGACTTCCGTCTTCCGGGTTCCGTCCCTTGCGAGCGTACGCGTCGCAGGGGGGCGGAACCGGCGGCATATTAAAAAAAAAACGACAAAGACAAAAACAATTCGAAAAAAAAATAGACCGAAAAATGACGTGAAAAAAATTAAAAATAATACCGCCAGGGAGGTTAAAGTTCATGTGCGTGCAAAGGCAGGTGTCCCAATACTTTTGACAAATTAGTGTATATTTAATTTGGTTTGGATTCACTTTATCTCTTCATGTCTGGGAGAAACTGAAAACCTGTGTGTCCAGAATGTACTTTTTTGATGAATATTTATTATGGCCACTGCTTCTGATAATATTTATTTTTAAACTTTTTTTATGTGATTTTTACATTGTTCTTACAGGAGGTTTGTTTTTTTATAGTAGTTTGTTTGAAATATACCTATCATTGATTTATTTTTTACATATTTATTTATATTTGATTGCCAAGATTGTTAGAAAATGTACTTATTAGCTGTTTTACGTATGATTTTACTACAAGTCTCTCTCCAGTTAATTGTGGAGACCCCACATATCTGTTATTTCAACTACAAACTACTCTGGTATATAGTACGTGAATAAGGGTTGTACATTAAAGGGACTTTTTGGTGCTGTACTTTAGCTTTGTAACACAGTTTTTAAATTTAAATTAAAAATTTTAAATAAAACGATTCTATTGACAAAGCTCAATACTGAACTTAAATTGTTTAAACATTTTTAAAACATTTTTTTTTAAATTATTAAAATTAATAAAATTGGTAAAATCCTTATCAATTTTTATGACTACTCCAATCCACTAAATTATCAAAATGAGCAAATCCACCCAGTCAATTAAAGTGAATTAGAATGTAGAACATACCAAGACATTAATTAACCAAATTAAATAATGTAAATGGTATATTGACTGGCTAATCAAATGAACACAGGTAATTAAAAGTAACAAGTAATTAACAAACACATGTTCCAATAATTTACTGACCCACTCTAAATAATTAATTACCGAATTAACTACTGGTAGCCCTTCTTTAATACCTAATTGACTAAATGTATTTGATTATAACATCTTATTACATTATAATGAAATCTGTCAATTTAGACCTAAAGCTGCCATCAAAATCCTGAATGTCTATGGAAGCAGGCTTCAGCATAAACATAAATGTGTGGGTCCCGAGCATTCCTGTCTATAATATGGAATCCAGAAGAAGAAGAGGCTGGGAGCAAACACTGACAGCAAGAGGAAAAGGTTTTTCAACCCACTGCTATTTCTCTAAGTGCCCGTTCATACATGGTGTGGTGACCTGCACTGTGATGTTGATTTGAAGGGAGCTACTGTGAGTTGAAGGGAGCTTTAAAGCAGACCTGTGCCCAGGCTATGAACATTAAGCTATTTAAATATCCTTAAAGGAGAACTATGGGGTTAGGGCTTTTCCCCATAGTTCTCCTTAGGGTAACGGGAGGACACAAACTAGCGTCCTCCCGTCACCCTAAGCTCAGTATACCGCGAGCTGTATACTGAGACGCCACAGCCGGAGTGGATCCCGACATTGATGTTGAGATCCGCCCAGCTGCGTGAGTGACAGCTGGCTCTGTCTATCTAGAGGCAGAGCCAGCTGTACCCGCCCCCTCCCCCGTCCGTTCTGCCAGTCAGCGCTGGTGGATCAGAGCGGGGAGGGGGGAATCCAGCCCCTCCCCTGTCACGGCAGAGAGCTGTGACAGGATCGAGAAGTGAGCGAGCGCCGGTATGTGTTCGCTCACTTCCCGATCTACTGAGCCGACCTGTGACAGTCTCATTGTCACAGGTCGGCTAGAACTATGAGGTGAGTGAAAAGCACTCACCTCATAGTTCTCCTTTACAAAGCAGCAAAAGAGCTTTAAAACAAGCCCTCACTTAGCTCTGCTTGTAGTGTGAAGTAATTTGTTTTCTGTACAAAACATATACAGTATATACAGAGGTGAGTGAGTGAGCTTGTTTTGAAGTGCTTTTACTGCGTGTTCATAATATGTAAATACATTAGTGTATGGTTAAAGCATGGGTTTACATTAAGGCTGGGTTCACACCTGGGCGTTGCTATAGGCGCGTTTTATGCGTGTTTTTTCAGCAAATGTTTAGCACGTTTTTTAGTTCTGTGAAACGCGCATTCGACGCTCGCTTTTACACCTCCCTAGCGGTATGATTTTTTTTTTCCTTTTATTTTCTATCTTTTTTTCAGGGTTTTTTTTTTTAACTTTCAAACTTCCCACCGGTTCCGCACCCCTGCGATACGGACGCTCGCAAGGGATGGAACCCGGAAGACGGCAGCGGCTGGAGGACACAGCGGGGATCGCCGACAAGGTAAGAACTGCGCTGTATTCCCGAGTGTGGCTCTGGGTTACCGCTTTGTTAACCCCGAGCCACACTCAGGAATACCAATGGATACGCTCGGAAATACGCCCCAAAAGAAGCACCTGTACTTGTTTGGGCGTAGGACGTTTTTCAGCGCGTTTCTAAGCGCTGAAATACGCCCAGGTGGGAACCATGCCCATAGGAAATTATGGGATTTCACTTGCTGAGCGTTTTTCAGCGCTTCGATCAGCGCTGAAAAACGCCCAGGTGTGAACCAGCACTAAAGGTTTCAATAAAGCTGCCCAAAGCTTGAAGAAAACTTTGCAAATGTTTTGTAAGCACTTGCCATACCCACTGCTCTTATACAAGCTGAGCCTTTGTATACAAGGAATAACTGCTCTTGGCTTCTGCTTAAGTGTGAGAATGTTGCTAGGCCTACTAAGCTGGTCTGAACCTAATTTATTTGTGGGCACCATAAATAAATGCATGCCTATAAAAATAATTATAGAGGGAAACAGTATTGTTAGAAAGAAAGATGTGCTAGTATTCAGGCTGTTATACTGATCCAATGGCTTCATTACTATCATAAGCTCACCACGCACATTACAATCTGATTGTACAGTCTCCTTTAGATCTACCAACAACCTTTTCTAGACTAGATAACATGAACTGATGGTCATTGGATCAACATGATGGCCATTCAACTAACAAGCCAGGAATGGCAGCCTACTTTCTCTCAGTACAAATATCTTTAGGATATATATCCCAATCAGCTTGCACTATACAGTTGCTGGAAATTGTAAGGGAGACAATTCGAAGGTAGGATTTGTGGCCAGACTAAAACAAACTTTTTTGTGACTACTGAGATTGATCTCATGGTAGTAATTGAATGAAAAATCAGAACAATTGGTTCCAATGGACAATCTAATACCCGAGGTCCCGGCAGCAGCCCAGTCTTTGAAAGTAAGAATGCATGATAGCACACTGGTTTTATGTAAGTAAAATCTAATGAACAAAGTGCCCATCTAAGAAGGCCAAAGAAAATCAAAGAATAACCCATCAAATACCATTAAAGCAAATGTAATCAGAATAATGTACCCCATATTGTACAACAGTCACAAAGGTGTTCATGACCACATAAAACATTTATAATGGTCCAAGTTGACCTGTAATACCTCCAATACAAATATTTTTAAGGTCCAAGTTGACCTCCAATACAGTGTATGTATTAGATGAAATATATAACATATAAAATATATACACAATAAATGTGAAAAGATGACCTAATGCTACAAGCAAGACAGCAAGTTTATATACATTCATAATGCAAAATCATATTCTACAGTGCTTAACCAAGTGCATAGAACCTTTTGTTAAGCACTGTATGATAAATTCCCTGTGTCACTGTTCTTTAAATCAGAACAATCCAACTATATCAGAGGTAACTGTATTATTATTTTTTTTTAAACAAAAGTCTAATTTTTAAAAAAAAAAACACTATGATATAATTAGCGTATCCATTTTTCAAAGGATACAAATTGTGCAGTAACTTATGATGACTTTTTTCCATCTGCATCAGTGATTTCATCTGTCTAATGTTTTCAGATACATAGCAAAACATATATACACTCATTTAATGTTCTGTACAAAAAGTAAAGTTCAGAATATTCCACTTAGATGCTGACTCAATCTTGGACCAAGGAGGCTCCTAAAGGAGATCAATACTATTGAATGCAGATTGAAGAACCAAAGCACACATACTACAGTATGAATTCAGCCAAGTGGTACTTGGATACACCACATTAGTACCAGTGGAACAATCTTACTTCAAAAGTGATGTCCCTGAACACTATTTCTAACAAATCTTATATAATGGGGTTGATTTACTAACTTTATAAACACACCACGAACATGTATACACCTCTGTAGTGTGTTCCCCTCCCAGCATGATCTATGGGTGGAATCTAAACACCTTTGTAGTGTGTACACACCCAGCAGGTGTGTTGTGCAAAGCCCTGCATGAATTTGCAAGGTGATGTTGTGTAAATTAGCTCTATGTTGTGTTGCTTGCGTTGATGAATGCAGGAATGTAAATGCATGAGCTAACCATTTTTGTCTAAACTGTGAAGCAGCATTATATATGCATCATGTGCATGATTTTTCCATATATGGCATTAGTGGAAATATGCTTTTAGAGACTTTTTGGTTGATAAATACGTTTTGCTGTGTAAAAATCACACGCACCTAGTGCGTGCGTGTGTTTAGGTTAGTAAATCACCCCCAATGACTTACTACATTTATACTGACATTTATATACAAAAAAGGAATTAGGGCAGTCTACCACACCTATGTCCTTGGCTCGTGATCCTAAAGGTCTTCTCCACTGAGTGATAAATTTGTAAGCATCAAGTCGGATTTCAATAATGTTGTTAAGTAAGGCAAGGAGTGGTGCCAGTGGAAAAGCTGCCACAAATATTGTTGTAAAGCCAAATTGAAGAACTGGAAAGGAAAAAGGTAAACATTTGTGTCAAGTTACTGTATAACACAACATCCCAAAGCTAAAAGTGTGAAGGAATGCTGGCATTGTCTTATCATGGGAAAGAGTAAAGTATGTAAAGCCCAAACTTTTTAGTTTTGGATAGAGAAGGGAAGCATCAAGACTCCTGTCAAGTTTGTGTTACTGTCTGTGATCCCATTAAGTAGAATTGCCCTCTCCATTTGTCTTATGGACCATTGTCCCAGAAATAGAAAAGAATGGGAAATCCAAAATGTTAGTGTTGTCACCAAAACATGAGGTGGAGGTAAATCCTACAATGGGCACATCTGAACCTGTGACAACTATCTAAGACGGCAATTTTCCTCACTTTGCAGAACGTCCCTCCCACTTCCTGTTGCGTCTCTATGACAGGAAGTGAAGTAAAATCTCCCCAACAGGATACAGGAAAAAAGAAGGGCTTTAACTCTTCCCTACTATATCCAAAGCTAAAATAACTAAAATGTAGTGTTTACATTCACTTTAACTCTTTGCTGTCACTTATAAGTAAGGAGGGGTAGTAAAGAGGGGTAGTACTGAAAAGCATAAAGACCAAGTTTGCTTACTGTATATACATTTTCAATGTATTTTTACAAATTGTCTGTGGTTACAAGGGAAGATGTTTTCTACACACAGGAAATGCCCTATCTCAAAGTCCCATCCCATGCCAAATTTTATCTGTAGGTGGTGCTGCAGGTAAAATCTGAAATTACTGCTTTGGATCAGGATGAAATGGGAACTTTTCGAATAGGAGAAACCACTGTGGGGCTTAGAAGCATGGAGTGTCATTTTATTTATACTAGAAAATATTTTCTTTTAACATAGTTAAGGGGGCATTTACTTCCCAGCAAAAAAAGAAGTGCTAGAGAAAAAAAATGCATTATGTGTATGAATTAATCGGCAATTATAATAAACATAGCAGTGCTGCTTCGAGCAATACTTAGGGATTTAGCCAACTCCTAAAAAAACACTTCTTTTTGCTCTCATTTTTCAAGTGGCAGAAAAAGACTCCTAAAAGTAATTAGTAGCTTTGCATCAGTTCAGTGGCATTTTGCCAGATGTACCATTAACTGTGACACTTGTGGTTTAGCAAGCAATTTTTTATAATAATTTCCGCTCTTTTATCAGTGCAGTGACAACAGGCAAGAGAGTCAGTGTCTTGTGAATAAGCTGCAATATTCAGTCAAGAAAAAAAATGATTCCACTGGGGACGAAAAAGTTTCAATTTTTTTCTTCATGCTGAATAAAACTCAGTAGAAAAACTACCATGAAACATAAATGAATAAGACTTGCATCACCCTTACTTGCTCGATACTGATATCGGAAGAAGTTTTTTGTATTTTATTCTTATTTGAAAGGCTGAGTTTTTACAGCTATATAGGGCTTTGTTAGATAGATTTATATCATATTTATATATATTTGTATTATAATATATATTTGTTATATTTAGAGGCATGTACCATATGCTAATTTATGTTTTATGATCCATTCAGAACACTCCCTGTTTTGTGTTCATATCATGAATTGGTTTATGTAAAAACTTTAGTAACCCACAGTTCTTGCCCAGAGTGACCCTAGAGATCCTGTAAAGTTTGAAATGAGATTCTACAAACAGTTTTTAGGGAATGACAAGAAACAATTATAAAAACATTTTATAATAGCATGAATACAAGCTCGCCTTTGTATTGTACCTGACAAATACATATTCCCTTAAAGGAGAATTATGGGATGAGTGAAGTACATTCATCCCAATAGTTAGAGCTAACGTGTGATGCTGCAGCTGTCACACATGGGCTCTATTGATCGAGAAACGAGCGATCACATACTGCTGATAGCTTAGTTCATGATCTTCTCTCTGCAGTCACCCCCACAGGGATCACCCCCTTCCCTCTCCATTAAACCAGCGATGACTAGAGGAACAGATGGTGGAGGGGCAGGCACTGCTGCCTAGAGAGGCAGAGCCATCTGTCAATCATGTAGCAGGGTGTGTCCCGACAATATTGTCAGGATCTGTCCCGTCTGCAGCGCAGCTCTTGTACATTTCCACCTGTGACCCTAAAGAGTACTACGGCCAAAGTTTGGCCATAGTTCTCTTTTAAAATTGTTTCATGAGTTGCAACATGAGGCCACCACATCATGGGTTGAAAGAAAAATAACAGGACTTACTCATTTCAAGGTATTCTTCAAATAATCCATAAGGATTGATAGGCTGCAAGTTGTAATCTTTCTCGCACTGTGGAAAGCTAGCTTTCCCATGAGCACCATGCTCCAGCCTTAATCTTCTACGAGTCCACCAATTTTGAATTAACCTAGATTATTAACAATCAATAATATTACTAATTAAATTATGAAAACTTTTATTTTTTGCAATACAAAGTACAGTAAGCCATAGAAACTAACCATAAAACATCTTGAGGTGCCTCTGACTACAGTAAAGAATAATCTGGTTGTTATAGGTTACTGCACTGCACTATTCTTTGCACTGTTGTGGTATATGTAGAACAGCTGATTACAGGATAACTTTGCAACCCCTACTGACTAAGCATTACTACTTTACATTTACTTACGGGTAGCCAAGCTCCATAAAGTTATTCCAGGTTTGCTTCAGTACCATTATTATGCCCATCTGCATGCATAAATCAATAAGGCATCCACTGGGGTGACACTACAAATACATAGGAAAACAATATTATTTAAACAGCCTTCTTTAATATTTTTTGCATTTCATGCAACTCTTCATTTTATCAACTAAACTTCAAAGACTTAGTAAAAAGTCTTAGCAAAAACACAGAAAAAAGTAAAAAAAGAAAAGGCTTAGTAAAAATACTAACCTCTTCCAGCCTCCATCTGTTGATAAGCCTTAAATAAGCACCCGGCCTTCCGGTAAACCTTTAAAAAATAAAATGTACATGCATATCTGAATAGTGAAATACAGACGTATTCCGTTGAACTATTTAAAATAAACCTATCAAGTGTAAGCTAAAAATTGATCTTTACAAGCAACATGTTATAAATGGTACGGGACAAATACAATGCAGGCTATCTGGGTAACTGTCCAGTGCCCTTAATTCTAAAGGTGCCACAGACTTTTGCATTCAAAAGTAGTGATCCAGTTATGATCTTCATAAGAAGATTGAAAGTTGGCATATATTTCGATGAATATGAAGATATGCTATTGCATTACATTACTTGTATATCAAGGGACCAGTACATTTGAACTACAGGCAAAAATCTACCCAAATATTTATAGATATGTAGATAGATAAGTTTTGAGAACTTAAAGAGGGAGTGAACTGTGGAAGTTGTGCGCAAAAAAGGCAGACAGAGGCCAAAGGGCTTGCAAATAACATTGCCTATGGTCTCCATGCAGCTGATCTTTTCCCCATTACTGACTTACAATGTTTTGTTCTGCCCCATGTCTCTGTGTGAAGGCAGCCATCTTGGTAGAGGCTGGGCCTTTGCTTCCTTAAGTAATAAACTCCAGCAAGAACAACAATGAGCAGTAAAGTAGTGACATCACCAAATACCATATTAAATCTCCTGAGACTAGCAGAGAAAGCTAAGAACTGCTATTTTTTCAGGAGGAATTCCAAGCAATGGTACATTTTAAGGGTACTGCTTAGGCACATTAACATTTCTAAATCTTTCCTACAACATAGCACATCTTCACAAGCAATCTTATTTATTTTATGGAGATAGGTGGCATATTGAGGAGGGGATGCCTACATATTTAAAGTTAGGGATGCCTACATATTTTTTAAACATAGGGGACTAAATAAAGAGGCCCATTTGTAGTAAACAGTGAAAAAATCCTAGGTAAGATATCAAATGCAAGAACTAAATTTGGTTTGGTGGACTCTAAGTGCAATTAGGTGCATTTAGGCATACAACCCCTACTATTGTCCATTATATAATTGTCAACTATAGCTGGGAAAGCGAGCATCTGACAGATGTCTCTATACAAAGATTTAGCTGTGGAGCAGAGAGAAAATAACAGCTGATAAATCAGCGGGCACACAGTGAGAATGTTTTATTAGTTTTAAAATTATTTATATTTTGTTTTTTTCTCATGAGAGGTCTTTAGCTGCCTTAAACAAGTTACCACAGGGAGGAGTGAAATAGCATCCAAGTAAGCCTCATCTCAGCCAAGTTATTGCGCTTGATGTTTTCTTTTCAATCAGGGATCCTATAGACCAACATTTCTCAAGCCTCCACAGTCTAAAATGTAATGGATTTTAAGGGGAAACGCCATGCAAAAGTACAAAAAAGTGGGGTTTCCCCTCTTCACATCAGAATCCTCAGTCCCCTCTTCACATCAGCGCCCTCAGTCCCCCTTCATTTTATTGTGCTACCATCACAAGATTTCAAGGCACCCCTGAGGAAGCCAGATGGCATCTCATGGTGCCAAGGCACACTGGTTGGGAAAGGCTGCTATAGAATAAAGTAGGACAACATAACACAGGGTGGGGATTGGCTAGTATGCTGCAACTTACATATGTGTTGGTGGGTCTTTACAACATAGCGCTAAGGCTTTTTTGTGGATTAGAAACAAGTTTGACAGCTCCTGTTTGCTGGTTGTGGGATGGAGTTCTGGAGAATTTTAATTTTGTACACAGAGAAGGAAGACAGAGCAAACAATTTGAAAATAGCCAAAGTTGTTACTGGTAGTAGCTGGGTCGCTTACTTAAAACTGTCAGGTTTACTATTTACACTTCATTATAATGTATATAGATGCCTGTAAAAGTCTGATACGCCTCTGTGGACAACACATGAATGCAATAAGGAATTAAGACTTGAGACAATTTAATCTCAATTTCTGTCACCCCTATAAGCAATACAATTTCTTAACTCCGTATACATTCTTGCAAAACCATTTCATAATATAATACATTTGATTCACTTTTGGAAATTATTCACTTTTACACCTAACAGCAGCATGAAAACCCAACAATTTGGTTTATTTAGTCTGCCCATCACCATGACACCACACACAATATGCTGACGTCCTATCAGCTCCCATTATCCGGGCCAATCACGTCCCAGCTGCCCTTTTTTTAGCCATAGCAGGGAGGAGACTGTTATCACGTCCTGATGAAGGGGGCGTGCCCCGGAAACGCGTCGACACCCCAGTGATTCTCATACAGGACGCTCTACGCGGATCCTTGTACTGCTCGTTTTTACTGTTCTGCAGCTCGTTTTTACTTCAACATTGTGAGTACCTGTCAGTACATTCTTGATGACTTTATTGGAATAAACAAATCGGCACTAGGAAAGGCGCCCCTTTTCTGCTTTTTTTCAGATGTTCCAGTTCCCTTGACAGTTTTTGGGGCTGCGCCCTGCACATATGCTCGGTACTCCTCCCTTGTGAGGGATAAGGATTGCCCTTGGTGCTTCTAAACAACAAAAAACGTGTAGTTGTTGTGTGTATGACATACTTTTAAGGTATTCAAATTGGATCAATGTGTTTTATGCTAACATTTTAGATCCATACAACCTGTGTCAAATGTAGGACAGAAATATCAATACTGCAAGCAATGCCTGTTTGTGGAAATGTGTTCGATGTTAAAACCTAATACCGCTACCACCCTAAGAACGCTCCAGACTTCTATACTCAAAAAGGAAAACTTACAAGAAATGCCCTTACCTTCCAAGGAAGAATGCTATGTAAAAGGTTGAACTGTTCAGATTGACAAACTGAAAAAGAAACATTTTCAAAGTAAAGCTGTTCTCCCATTCTGATTCAGTACGTGGCTGTTCTGTGGGCAAAAACATGTGCACAACTGTAGATTTTAACCATTTTCACTTAGATCGCAAGTAATCAACAAACTTATGTGCAATTACTGGGTAAGTAGAGTTCTCTACTATACAGATGAAACTCGAATAATTAGAATATCGTGCAAAGTTCATTTATTTCACTAATGCAACTTAAAAGGTGAAACTAATATATGATATTGACTCATTACATGCAAAGCAAGATAGTTTAAGCTGTGATTTGTCATAATTGTGATGATTATGGCTTACAGCTCATGAAAACCCCAAGAACCCCAAATCCATAATCTCAAAAAATGAGATTACATGCAATCAATAAAACAAGGATTGTACATAGAACAATATCGGACCTCTGAAAAGTATAAGCATGCATATGTACTCAGTACTTGGTTTGGGCCCCTTTTGCAGCAATTACTGTAATTACTTTTGCACGATATTCTAATTATTCGAGTTTCACCTGTATGTTCAATATCAAGGAACAGGCAACAGCAATGAATAAACATTATATAATAAACAATGTATACGACCCACATTATGTGGGTTTTCCTACGTCACAGGACATTTGATTTTATATATCATTAATATGTATATGACATACAGACAAAAAAAAATTAAAAAATAATATATATATATACAATATACATTTGATTCAAAAAGGTATCTTAGTTTTATTTTGATTGTATGCACATTGAAAGATTAGTATAAAGTAGCTTGATCTGGTAATAGGAAGGAATCATGATTCCAGATAAACAGATACACTTTATACATACATTTGTAAAGAAACTGTAACACAGGATTATAAAATAAAAAAGTAGTATCCTTTTTTGTAGTCCTCTTTTCCTATAGGCTGTGCTGCTCTGATCCAGAGGTGCTCAATGAATTTAATGTTGAGTCCAAGCACCAGTGCACCCTTTTCTAGGACCACCATTGTTTTAGAGCTGTGTTATTAATAAAGCAATACAAATACTATTTCTAACAATATGGATAGCCCCAAATTAAAGTGTATTTAAACCCTAACAACAAACCTCCTTTATTTGCTCACTTTTGCCCTGTTAAATATATTATTGAAAGTTTTTTGTTATATTTGTCATACAAGTGCAACAAATACCTGTTAATCCCGCAAGAAATTAAGTGAGCAGATAACCCCCTGTGATCTATGCCTTTGCTGCATTCTTATCAGTGACATTGTTCCCAAATATCTTCGAGGACATCAGAACTCCTTCCTTCTATGTTTTGGAGAAGAGGAAAAGGGAAGATGTGTGTATTCCTGTCCTGTAGTGACAACACTGCTTCCCCATGGATACAATACTGTATATTGTAATCATTCACACTGAATGATTTGGGATTCCTGTGGCAAGAAACTACAGATTCCTGAGGCAGGAATCCCAGGTGTCCTGTTTAGATGCGGCCACTGTACCTGTTGGAATAGATCATTGTCCCAGGACGCATCTATCCTGCATCCAGGAACAGTGATCTTTTTCAAACTGAATACTATACTGTACTACATACTAATTACATGCTTACAGATGTGGCTGCTGTCACCTGATCATTAACTTGAACGGATACAGCAGCCACATCTAAGCGGGGACACCTGACGCAGGAATCTGTAGGTTCTTCCCACAGGTATTCCAGAACGCCCATGTGAAAGTTGCCACCCTAAGACAAGAAGCATGTTACTGGCACCACATCCAATAACCGGTAAGCTGCAATATATTGCATTTTTGTTTTTGGGTTTAGATTAGATTTATTTTTGAACCCTGTTTGGTGGTTCCAACCCACAGGATAAGCACCTCTGCTCTAGTACACTGTTTAGTTGTGCTTAGTGGTGAGTATTGCATCTTTAAAGGGGTTCACTTATGAAAGGAACAGAGACTGTTTACATAGCAGTGAATGTTCCTTTTGCAAAGAAACAGCATTGAGCTTCAGAGAATGGTCTCTAGATGTATTTTCCTTAAAGTGAACTTGTCAAATGTCACATCCATGCCTAGGATCAATCATGGGACCTCCTGTCTTTGGAACAGTCACTTTCTTCTGGAGCCACTGGTGGGCTTTTGTTTTGTGTTAGAATTTTCGGCTCCGACTAGTTGCACTGTCTTAGTCTCTCGTCCCTACCTACTGGTCAGCTCAGAGGCGGCTCTCTAATTAGGCGAGTTAGGCGGTCGCCTAAGGCCTCGCGCTTACGAGGGCCTCGCAGGGTCGGGGAGAATGGGGTCGGTGCCCGCAGCCTCAGGACAAGCCCCGCCCCCTCCCCATCGGCCACTGCCGTGTCGACAGAACACCGGCCTCGCGGGTAGAATGAGGTGCCCACAACCTCCACACAAGTTCCGCCCCCCCATCTGCCACTGCCTCACAGGGAGAATGGGGTGCCAGCAGCACCACTTCCTTCTCTGCAGAGAGAGACTTGCAGAGGCTTTGGAGGAGGCCGATAACATCAGGGTGAAGAGCAGCAGCTGCATGGAGTTCAGGTAAGTGAAGCACCCCTCCTAAGGCTGCGTTCACACCTGGGCGTTTTTCAGTGCTGATCAAAGCGCTGAAAAACGTCCAACGCTCAAAATAGTACTTGAGCTTCTTTGGGGCGGATTTCCGCGCTGATCCATTGACTTCCGCATATTAGATTTTGTAAAATGTGCGTCAAATTTGACGCACGTTTCGTGGACAGAAAAACATGCAAAAACCATGCGGCCAAAAATGTGCAATTGACGCGCACATTACAACCGCCCAGGTGTGAACCCAGCCTAAAAAAAGGAAAATACATGCTAAAAAAAAAAATCATTCTTGTTTTAAAAATACTGTTGTCAGGACCCAGTCACGCCATAAAGACTGCGTTCCAGTGCGTCCCGCCTGGCACACTTTGTTTTGGGATAGGAGGGGGCATGGCGGTGCCATGTAGCACCACATGCAACCCGCCCTCCCCCCGCGCCATGCGATCGCCGTGTAGCGCTTCTGTCCTCCTTTTTATCTGTTCTTTTTGATTAACATTGGACACCCCGGTCCACACTAAAAAGAAGCTGCACACCTAATACTAAATTCCACACCCATACGCCCTTACCCTTCGTGCAGCGCTGTATCAGGGGACAACTCTCCTAACTTTTCATGTAAAAAATCAAGCTGCCCAATACCAGTGAGCAAATGCTTCTGTGCTGTCACCCCATAGTGTGTGATAGGAAAGCAGGATTCATTGCGTTCTTTACTACTGAACTGTGTGTTTTGTTTCTGCCCTCTGTGCGATCCTTACTTCTGCTCTCTGTGCGTTCCTTACTTCTGCCCTCTGCGCATTCCTTACTTCTGCCCTCTGCGCATTCCTTACTTCTGCCCTCTACGCGGTCCTTACCTCTGCCCTCTGCGCGGTCCTTACATCTTACCCCTTAAAATGCTTTTACCACTCATCAGTTTAATGTTATAAGTGATTAATGGCCCTAAAATTATTGCTCTCACTGCGACGTTTGCAGCGATATGTAACATGTGCGGCACAATAGGTGCAATTTCTTTTTTTTTTACACAACTTTATTGCTATCACATAGTGGGCTAAGAAGCCCCCTATGTGATAGCCAATTTACATGACAGGCCCTCTTTATGGAGACATCAGGGGTCCATGACCCCTAATGTCACATAGGGACCCCCAGAGATCTACTTCATCCGCTTCTTTAGCTGGAGAGTGACACTGAATGCAGGAAGTGGTGTATTATACTCCACTTCCTGCATTCAGGGACTGAGAGGAGATCAAAGAGAGATTGTGTACTGAACTCTCATTTGATCTCCTGTCACAGAGCAGCCGTGCCGGTCCCGGCTGCATCGGGCACAGCGGATCTCAGGACCGGCAAGGCAGTGACACCTGCTCCTATACAAGTGGTCGGGCATCTCTAGAGACGCACGATCGATTGAATGTAAAGCTCCCGGCCGGCTGTGTAAATTACAACGGCCGGCCGGGAAGCTACCCGTCGGGCTCCGGCGTCCTCTAGTCACAGACGAGAGGACCAGTGGATTTTTCAAGCCCTGATTATTGGTGTAGGTGGGGGCCTCACGTTTTGAGTTTCGCCTAAGGCCTCACAAAGTCTAGAGCCGCCTCTGGGTCAGCTGCAGGCAGTTACCTAATATACCCTCTATAAATACTGACTTCCTGTTCCTGCCTTTGCCTCTGTATATTCCTTGCTTTGTGCATCCTGGGTACTGCCTATTGGATTTCTGGTTACAGAACTTCTGCTTGTCCTTCACCTGCTTCTGGATTATCCTTTGTACCTTGCCTTCTGTTTGTTGCTGACCTGTCCTGGATTCTGACTTCACTTCTTTTGGATTTCCCTTTGGTACAGTTGCCCTCTGTTGCTGACCTGGCCAGGATTCTGAAGCTGATTCTGGTGTATCCCAGGTGCTTTCCGGTTAGAGACTTTGGCTTATACCTGACTGTGAGCAACTCTTTTATTTATTTATTTATTTTAAATTCCTTTATTAAGGCACATGAAAATCATTACATAAGAACAACAATAGACATGAGCAACATAAACAACAGCTCCCCCATGACAGGCAGAATGAGAAAGTCTAATGACGACATGAGTATAATATTGAAGTATTAACTTGTACACAATTCCATAGCAGCAAATAAACAAAATAGAAATGGCAAACTATAATGTGAAACAGATAAAAATAAGTATAGAAATCTATGAAGATTCAACCAAAATTGGTCCGACACAGTCACTTACAGAACGTGAGAACTCTTATTTATTGTATTTACTGCCTATTCATATTCCCATTGGTCTTGTGGACTGTTCGCACATCTTTTTCTGGGTTCCTGCATTTTTCCCAGTTGTGAGATTCCAACCAGTCACCCTACCTGATACCAGGAAAACAAGACTAATGGTCAAGAAATTGAGGAGACAGGTGGGACTTCTTGGCAGGCCTGACATCAAATGATCAATGGTGATCAAGCAACAGTGTCATAATAATGACAACTTGTGGTGTTTGTAAGTATGTTTATTAATCTTCAACTATTATTCTGTGGGTCTGATGAGCCCCTAAATTCTACGCCCTCCATAAATAAGCCTTAAAAAGGCCAGTCTACCACAAACCTAAACCCCCCTCCCCTGTTGATTCAACAGTCAACAGTGTGGGGCTCTTACGACGATGTACTGCTGTCAATACTAGTTAGGGTACTGTACATCTTAGATTATGCTGAAATCCTCTTTGCACTGTGTGGACTTCACAAACAGCTTCAAAATCAATAATGTTTTTTAGAGAAAGAGGTAAAAAAGACACATCTGCTATGCATTAGAAATAAATAAAAAATGAGATGACATGTAGACCGGTATTTATTTTTTGGGCTCTTAAAGTAAGCTTTTAAATACTGCTACAAATTTGAAGAGGGAAAAAAGCAAAAAGCAAAAACAAATATAATATGTAGTATTACACTTACCAAGGTTAGTGAGGAAGAGTGCAACCTTTTCATAGAGCTGCAAAATAGGCCCAAAAGAAAAATTTTAGCTGCACGTTATAAAGTAGCTATTTTTCCCATTATCAAAAGTAAAGACCACAAAACAATAATTTGAATAAAAGCTATTATCTATAAATAAACATTTCTGAACATAATTCAGAACATTCAGATTGTTGAGAGTAATTTGACCTATTCCAGTCATTAACTACATTAACTAACCAAATACAAGAACACATAATTATTTAAAAGCATTGATTATACAGGCTGGGATGAGACTCGGTGACATAATTTCACATTCAGGAAACTCTCATGTTTCGGTTCACAGACAAATCAAGTAGTATAAAGCTATAAATATCATCTTACCACATTCAGTAGCATAATGATGCAAAAGTTGATACACACTGCAGTCCCTGTGGTAGCAACCTGAGAATTATTCCTGATTAAGGCCCATTTAAAGGCAGCAAATGTACTGACAGTCACAACACGATATATTACAATGCCAAAAACAGCAGCAATTACCACACAAATCTGAAAGCAAGAAGAAGAAAGGCAGCTGTTAGAAGCAGCATACTCTCAAACTCCATTACAAAAGCAATATGACATATGGTAATATATTAAGAAATACAATTTTTATTCAGTGAGAACCTACAGAGGAACACCTTGAGTGAAGAGAAAAATGTGGTTTCAGACATTATTGACAGTTACCTGTAACAGTAGGGCCAACGGGTTTTAGGGGATTAAATTGATATTAAACTCAAAAGGATTTTAATCTTTTTCAAATGTTGGTGAAATCACTTACAATAGATGCTGCTTCTTAATATTTAAAAGTTTTAGATTCCTAGGTAGAATCAGCAGGTCCTCTGAGTGTTGATATCTTATTTTAGGGTGGATTCTATCGAGCCACCCTTGTGTGTGTTAGTAAGCTGTGTGTCTCTACAAACATACAGGCACAGCAAGGCAAGTCACTCCCCTGCTTTCTTCTCCTCCCTCCCTGCTCCCAGCTAGTAGATGGACAGCTGCTGGAAGCTGCTCTGTCTCTTGTGATCTTGTACTGGACAGGAAGTTCAGGATAGTCAAGCTGAGAGTGTTGGAGCTAGCTGTTTGGAAACACGATGACTGTAAGTGCTTGAGTAAAAATGTACAGAAATACTTGTATATTTTTTATCTAGATTCAGTACTGAAAAAAGCTTGAGAGTTGAATATTACTTTAAGGTGTTGCCTTCCTCAAGGCTGACAATGTTAGATGTAGTGTATGCTGTAAAACAAGACCCGCAAACAACCGTCTGATGTCCCGCAGGAGTTTCGGGCCTTGCTGAACTATATGCCTACTAAGGAGGACTGGTCACCAGAGTAGAGGCGGCCCTCCAGCGCGACCTACGAAAGGTAAGGCAAGAGATCCAGTCGCTCTCTACGGAGGTGGCCGCAGTGTCCAACACATGTACGGCCCTAGAAGCCAGGGTTCGGGCCTTGAAGCACACACAACCGGAGGCTTCGCCGCTTATTGCGGCCCTCCAACTACGTATGGAAGACCTCGAGGACTGCAACCGGTGTCAGAACGTGAGAATCCGGGGCTTACGGGAGGCAACCAACCCTGCAGACCTCTGCTCCACGGTACAAGCTGTCTTCGGCTCCCTGCTCCCCGATACGGCCCCGGACTCCATCTTACTGGATAGGGTGCACCGCACTCTAGGCCCACTGTCTCCGGACGCATCCCGCCCAAGAGATGTCGTCTGCCGGCTTCAATACTACTCCATGAAGGAGGCCATCCTACGCCAGGCCTGGCTGAAGAAACCAGTCGACAGGGCGGCCCTACAGGTTCTGCCTGACCTCTCACGCAACACCCTGCGGCGCCGGGCCTTGCTTCGCCCTCTCGATGATTCTCCAGGCTGGCGCCTCCTACAGATGGGGATACCCGATCCACCTGCATGTCCGCAAGGAAGGCTCATCGTTCACGGTCCGGACCACGGCTGACGTGGCGGGCCTATGTGAGTTACTCTGGATACCCCCGGTACGACTGACAGACTGGCTTGCCCACCTCCCTGATGACGCCTCGGTGTCCCCAAAGCCCCGACCATCCTCCTCAGCCTCTCCTGTCCGGGCAGACGGAAGACCCTCCCGGTTCCGCTGAGCTCTGAAAAGGATGTTGAGATTTAGCCCCTCTACCTTCCCGGCCGGCCCGTCTTCCCGAGTAGACGATCTACCCGACTACAATCAACCTCAGACTGTGGACGGTCTTCATATGCTGACCCACCTCAACTACACCCGTGGCCCCGGCCATATCAACCGGCCCTTGGGGGCCCAACGTTTGTATCCTTCCACAACCGATATCTCCCGGACTAACCCCGAGCTCCGGCACCGTTCCGTTAGCCTGCTTACTCAGTAGCTTGTTTGCGGACGGCCGGGCCCACAATGTCTTGCTGGCCTATGGCCTGTTCTCAGGCTTGCAGAGAGTGCCAGGGCTCCGGTACTCCTGATTGACCGCGAGCTGGTTGCTCATTCTTTCTGCTATTGTTTCTATATTTTTTTTATTATCTCAAGTCTCTTCCTACATGTTTATAGAGTTAATGGGCCCTAGGCCTTATTGAATGCCCCTTCACCGTTACTAGAGGCCCTTTGCCAGGGGGTGTGTGCCTGGAGCGGAGAGGGATTGGAGAGGTCCCGTCACCCCGGGAATCAGGTATTCCTCTCTGTCGATGGCCGGGGGCCCCAGGGGATTCCCGAGGCCGACCGCATATCTCATCCACCCCTGCAGCCGGCGGGAATAGGTCCCTCTCCCTGTCCTTCGACACAGACACACCCTCCATAGTTGGGAAAGGTTTTCCCTTCACACTGCTCTTCTCTGGTATTACACCTTCCTCATAACTGCTGACCCACGGAGCTCTGACCCACCCTGCTCAGACTCGTTCCCCCACTAGTTAGTCCCTGCAGTGCCAATCGTGCCACAGGGACTGTGAACCCCGGTTCATCAGTTAGCTCTCTTAGACACATGTGATCCTTTCCTGTTCATCCTTCCTTCCGCTCGCCCCTATCAGTGTACCGCTTACCCCCAGTCTACGTCTGTGTTCCCCCCCACTGTGTTCCTGCCCTAAGCCTACTCCCCACCCTCCTATTCCTTGATCTTTCAGCATGTATCACCTCAGGATCCTGTCGCTCAACGTCAGAGGTCTCCATGTACCGGAGAAGTGGAGGATGGTGCTCACGGACCTACACAGACAAAAAATACAGGTGGGCTTCCTCCAGGAGACTCATTTTGCCACGGGGCGGGCTCCCTCTCTTCGAGACCGCCACTTTCCGGTAACGTATAATAGTCTCTTCCCTGACGAAAATTAGTGGGGAGTCAGTATATTGATTAATCGCTCGGTGCCGTGGCAATTACTTGACATGTCCTCGGGAGAGGAGGGCCGCCTCTTGATGGTAAAGGGTAGGGTGGGTGACTGCACAATGACCTTCATGAACATCTATGCCCCCAACCAAGGCCAGGTGACATTTTTGGAACGGGTCCTGTTGCAAGTGGATGACTTCCGTGAGGGTACGCTCGTGATTGGGGGGGACTTCAATCTACACTTAGACCCTGTAGCAGATTCCACTAACCAGGCCTCCCACCTGCCCTTTGCGGCATTGAGACACCTCAAAAATTGCCTTCACGCCCACCAGCTGTCCGACATATGGCGCATTCACCACCCTGACACTAGAGACTATTCCTACCACTCGACAGTCCACGATGCCTATACCCGTATTGACTTCTTCCTGATACACCACAGCAACCTCTCTAGGATCTCCCATACGGAGATAGGTAACATTACTTACTCGGACCACGTCCCAATTTTGCTATCGCTGGAGATGGGCCCCCAGGAGCCTCGTAGCTGGAGGTGGCGACTCAATGAGTCGCTCATACAAGACCCCGGGTCGGCCCCTGAGATTGAACGCGACCTCCGATCCTATTTCACATTCAACTCCACACCAGACTGCTCGCCCTACATCATATGGGAGGCACACAAAGCGTACATAAGAGGCACCCTGATTAAATTGGGTGCCCGCCGCAAGAAACAATGGTTAAGTCAGCAGCAATCTCTCCTCACACAAATCCATGCACTAGAACTCATGCACAAACAACGCCAGGACCCATCCCTTCTGGCCCAGCTCCGCTCCCTACGTGACTCCCTACGATCCCTATACATGGACAGAGCGAAAGCTACGCTGGTCAAGTGCCGCCGCCACTTCTGCGAGTATGGAAACCAATGCAGCCGCTCCCTGGCGCAAGCCCTTAGGCAACAGTGATCCCATACATACGTCCCAGCCATAAAGTCTGCCTCTGGCAGGATGTGCCATCTCTCGGAAGACATAGTCACGGCTTTTCGGGATTATTATTCTAACCTCTACAATCTCCCCGGCCCCCGGGACGCCCAGGCTCTAACGAAGCGACAACGTCGCATTCGGACCTACCTGGAAGCATCCGCCATGCCCACTCTATCTCCCGAGATACGCGAATCCCTGGAGCTAGAGGCAGCCATTAAACAAACCAACACCCCAGGTCCTGACGGGTTCACCCTCTTATATTATAAAACCTTCCCGGAACTACTAACCACTCCCATGCTGGCGGCTTGGAATTCGGTGGGAGAGGGGGCACCCATGCCCAGAGATGCGCTGTCGGCCAATATAGTAGTGATCCCCAAGCCAGATAAGGACCCCACAGTATGCCCAAGCTACAGTCCGATATATTTTTTTTTCTCAAATGGTTTTTATTGAGATTTACAATACAGACAGTCATAAACACATTATTGTAACAACTGATGACTGTTGTGACCAGGTCATACATAAACCACAAAGTTAAAAGTATCACAATAGTGGAGGAGCCTACTGTCCATCTCTTGGGTACTCTCTTGGTCCACCCTGATCAGGCGGGGTTCTTTCCCTCTAGAGAGACCGTGACAACACCACCCGGGCCCTCAACGTTATACACTCGGCCCTGTCGAAATCCATCCCAAGTTTAATTGTGTCCACGGACACAGAGAAGGCTTTCGACAGGGTCGACTGGTCCTTTCTTTGACTTACATTGGAACACGTGTGGATGGGCCCGGGCATGCTCGCATGGATTTTGGCCTTATACTCCCACCCGACGGCCAGGGTTTGTATCAACGGCACATTGTCGGCCTCATTCCCGATCTCAAATGGCACCAGGCAGGGCTGCCCCCTCTCGCCACTCATTTTCATCCTGACCTTGGAACCACTGCTCTGGACCACTGCTGACGACCTACTGTTGTTCCTAACGGCCCCAGACACCACTATACCCAACTTACTCGCGGTATTGCAACGCTATGGTGAGTTATCTAACTACCATATCAACACTCAGAAGTCGACGGCCCTGAACCTGACTATCCCACCCCCCATGCTGGCACGACTTTCACGGAACTTTCTCTATCAGTGGTCCTCCACATCGATTAAGTACCTAGGGGTCCTCCTACCCCGACACCTGGCGGACGCCTACAGTCTTAATTTACCCCCACTACTACAAAAGGTTAAGGCGGATCTCCAAGGATGGTCTCGCTCCACGTTCTCCTGGACCTGGCGATGCAACATTATCAAGCAAAGAATCCTCCCACGTCTCCTAACCCCTTCCAAGCCCTTCCAATACTGATCACACGCGCGCTCTTCCGATCCCTACAGACGATGGTATCCAATTTTATTTGGGCCGGTAAAGTCCCCAGGCTCCGACTACCGATTCTGTGACACCCTAAGGCAGCGGGTGGGCTAGCTCTACCCGACTTCCACCTCTATTACGTAGCATCTCACCTCTCCCGAGTGATCGATTGGTGCCGTCACAGAGACACTAAGCCGTGGATTGAGCTAGAACTGTCCATGACCGACATTCCGCTGCCAGCCTTACCATGGTGCAAGGGGCCTATACCTAGATCTACCAGATTTTACCCGACGGTAGGGTCTACCTGGCAGGTAACTCGACGGGCATTCGTAAGGCAAAAACTATCTGTTTCGCCCTCACCCATGCATCCGATCATAGGTAACCCCGTGTTCCCCCCAGGTCTGGAAGACGGACTGTTTAGTCGTCTCCTGGCCAGGGGCAAATTCAGGGTGTTACATTTTCTTAGCGGACAATCCTGGCGGGCAATTGGTGCCCTCTCTGTTGACCCCGACCTGAGGAACCTGGGAACGTGGAGACGCTTACAACTAACACACTTCCTGTCCTCCCTTCCAGCCCCCTCTACCTACACGCGGAACCTCTCAGTCTTCGAGCAAACCTGCGTAGACACTGGACCGATAGCCAAAACGCTCTCCCTATGTTACCAGTTAGCACTCACCAATGACCAAGAACTCCCATTATACTTCATTGACCAATTGGCACTATTCCCATGACTACATGGCTCTGTCCCCATGCGCTATAGGAAAAGTTACCATGTCCAGTTGGCCATCCGCTATAGGAAAAGTTACCATGTCCAGTTGGGTGTAACCCCGGGGGTCCGCCGATGCCGTTGGGCTGACCTATGCGGCTGGTCGGCGGGGGCTGTGCCCCCCCACGGGTGTTAGCCCTGGTCTAAATTACATATGCACCTTGCAGATTATATAGAAGCACATACAGGCAGGGTAGCAATATAGACAAGCGCCTGATCCTCTGGGTTTACCAACTAATGCAACATCAGATGAGGTTCTAGCTGCTTGGTCACCAGGGCTGGCCTCTTGGACTAGCCCCCGCTATCCAAGAGAGAGTACCCCCCATGCATGTACACTCCATTGAACCCTTCAGGGATTTTATTGTTTGACTGTTCCCTATATCTCCTTTCCGTTGTCATGTTTTGAATGTCCTTTTATGGCCCGGACCTGCGTGTCGATATGGGTACATTCTTCGGTTTTGAAAACTTAAAAACTTGTAGAATAAAAGAATTTATTTTTAAAAAAAAATAACAAACCATAAAAAATATTCCAGAAGCAGAAACGACAAGTCTGCTGCATTTATCTGCAAAGGCTTGATAAGGCTCCGGCTTTCCTGATACTGGGTTTAGCCGCTCTTTTTTGGAGTATTTGGCTTCAAACTGAGGACGGATCTCTTCCTAGATTTGAAGACAAGAAAGAAAGACAAACATGTATTTTATATTTGTATACTACACGAAAAAATCCAGCAGAAAAAATAATGTTCCCTAGAAAATAACATATCTCCCACTAACACAGTTCATGCCTTATTGAGTGATGCTTATTCTTAAAGCGTACTTCCACGTTTGCAGCCAAATTGGGATAATGCCTATTTTATATTTGTTACGTATGCTCATTCACATAGCACAACTTAAAAATTGTTAGAACATGTCTGCTTACATGTTTAAGTGTTTTATACATGCCAATTACCCGGTCTATACTGTGCTGTCAGATTTCATTATCAGTTCTAAACTAGAGTTGAACACTGTCTGTCCCAACAAAGAGTTAAAAACTTAGAAACATTATGGGGGTTAATCACTAAGCTGACGAAGGCATTTAAGTGAATAACCGAGCCGAAGTGAAGTGAGCTGAACACCGTTCAGCTATTCACTTCAACCCCGTACGGCTGATTTCAGCCATACATTGACTGAAATCAGCCATACATCGGTGGGCTTCAGCTCCCTTCGGTTCAGCCGAACATGCTCAGCTTGTTCAGCTCAACTGAAGTGCACAACGCGTTCACCTTAGCCGATCTACAGGGGCTGAAAGGCAGTGAGTGAATAGCCGAATGTCGCAGAGCGGAGTTTGGATTGGTTATTCGGCTCGCTACCTCGGTTATTTTACACGCTAAAAAAGTGCATGGGGTTCCCCCCAAAAGTCATACCAGGCCCTATAGGTCTGGTAGGAATTTTAAAGAGGAATCCCACCCCCCAAAAAATGGGGGGGGAAACGTGGAGTCCCCCTAAAAACCTGCACTGAAAGAAATATGTAGGTTGCTAATACTGACCTCTTTCAGTTGTCCTTCAGTCTTCAGTTCAAAGCCTTGTTGTCTCTTGCTTTATTATTTTTGGAGTCACTGACCCAAAATAAGACCAAACTTGTGATATACAGACTTATTCTGGGCCAGTGACTTCAAAAATGTTGAGCCTATTATACTACCAGGCAAATAGTATTTAAAGTAGGGTTCAGTAACAGTAGTTACATGGTTTCTTTAAAAAATTTACATAGTATATTAAGATATTGTTAGATCCATCAGGTTTATATTGCTGTGTTCCTTCATTTTTTCCAAAAGGTAGAATGCTATATTTACCTTGCAAAACACTGTAAAAATATACACGATATTGCCAAAAGTATTGGGGCGCCTTCCTTTACACGCACATGAAGTTTGATGGCATCCCAGTCTTAGTCCGTGGGGTTCAATATTGAGTTGGCCCACCCTTTAGAGCTATAACAGCTACAACTCTTTTGGGAAAGCCGTCCACAAGGTTTAGGACTGTGTCTATGGGAATGTTTGACCACTCTTGCAGAAGCACATTTGTGAGGTCAGGTACTGATGTTGGACGAGACATCCGCTCGAATTCATCCCAAAGGTGTTCTATTGGGTTGAGGTCAGGACTCTGTGCAGGCCAGTCAAGTTCCTCCACCCCAAACTCGCTCATCCATGTCTTTATGGACCTTGCTTTGTGCACTGGTGCCTCAGTCATGTTGTAACAGGAAGGGGTCCTCCCCAAACTGTTCCCACAAAGTTGGGAGCATGAAATTGTCCAAAATATCTTGGTATGCTGATGCCTTAAGAGTGCCTTTCACTCTTTTCCCCGCTCCACCAAACTTTACACTTGGCACAATGCAGTCAGGCAAGTACCGTTCTCCTGGCAACCGCCAAACCCAGACACGTCCATCGGATTGCCAGACAGAGAAGCGTGATTCGTCACCGCAGAGAAGACGTCTCCACTTGCACTTGGTGATGTAAGGCTTGGATGCAGCTGCTCGCCCATGGAAACCCATTCCATGAAGCTCTCTACGCACTGTTGTTGTGCCAATCTGAAGGCCACATGAAGTTTGGAGGTCTGTAGCTATTGAGTCTGCAGACAGTTGGGGACTTCTGTGCGCTTCAGCATGCGCTGTCCCCGCTCTGTCATTTTACGTTGTCTACCACTTCGTGGCTGAGTTGCTGTTGTTCCCAGTTGCTTCCACTTTGTTATAATACCAGTAACAGTTGACCGTGGAATATTAAGTAGCAATGACATTTCATGGAACACCTGAATCCAATGATTTGGAGGGGTGTCCCAATACTTTTGGCAATATAGTGTATTTGAGTTGGCAGGGGTGGTATAGTATGACACAGAAGCCCTATATGGGGAGGAGCTACCTGTACACTTTACTCTCATAGACTGATACAGTAAAATATTCTTTTATATTATCAGGGTTTAAGCGTGAATTGGTATAATCACTGGGCAACATCATATTGGCAAGTCTGCACTCACATTTCCGTAGCTTTGATATTAAAAGTCTGGTTCCCTTTAGTTTACAACATATACTGTAGATGTATGATAGCCTGTCTGCTAGTTAAACCTGTAACCTTTACCTCCTCTTCTTCCCAGTCTATTAAATCCCAGTCATAGGCAATCACCGCTCTTCTTCTTTTCCAAAACTCCAGAAAAACAGTTGCTAAAATGTAAATATATTAATGTAGAAATGAACACATAAAAATATAAAAACTTTATTTTTTTAATTAATCCTAAAGCCTATATGGTGTCTGAGGCTCATAGCACTACCCCACCATCTGTAGTGGGAACAAGCAGGACATTCTGTAAAAGAGGGAAAGGTATTTTGATATTATTCAGATATTACACCCGTTATGTGGGTGCTGGGAATGATCTATTAAAGGTCATCAACTAATCTATTCTGTTATTCCACAGATTCATCATATAAAATAAAGGAGCAAAAAAATTTGACGACAGACACACGGTGAAAGATAAAATCTGCTGCTTTTGATTTCAGAGCGCAAAAGAAGACATTTCCAAAAAACTGCACAATTTTATCAAGGTACTGGTTTAAAAATGGTTATTGCTGAACTCAAGCGAATCTATTTAATAGAGGTCCTCCCTCTCCAACTTTGAATCCTAGTGAGCAGATTACAGAAAGCTACTACAAAAACAGATTCCGGTGTATACAGTAGCTTTATTGTATTCAGCTTTAATTAAATGTGTATATTGATTTTGTTGTGATGAGACAAAATCCACACAGTTTATTCCATAGTATTACGGTCTGGTATTGTGCAATGTTCTAAGGATTACCTTCAGTAATTATACTTACCCCAAACTGCCATAAACACTGCAAAGAACACAGTTGCTCCATTATCGAAAAGATGGGTTACCTAAAACATAAAAAGGAGATCATTCTGAAGCTTACTCTAATATAACTAATGATCCTTTGGCAGAAACATGTTTTCCTATTGATACATTAAGAAGAGCAGGCTAGCAAATGGCCTATTTGGCTCCAATGTTCTGAGACTTGCTGAAATTCCTAAAACATGTTACATATGTATGTCTGCTTATAACTGATGTGTGATTTCAGGTCTAGCCATGCAGACGCATTGATAAATCAAACACGTTAGCAAAAAGTAACCATTGTGCTCTAAGTACAGGTAGATTTTATATTGTGAACAGGCAGTAAGTAGGGATTCAGAAATTCATCAATGAGGACACAGAGAAGAGTCAAGTAAATCAAATATTTATACCCCAGTGGTCTGCTGTGCATCCATACAGCAGCCTACAATATAAAGCATTAACGTTACTAACTTGCCCCTGTCTCAGACATGTCACTTATATGTTATGTACAAGACTGAATTACTTGGCAATGACAGTGACCATTCAGACCAGGGCAGTCCTATACAAAGTCAGGTACTATTCTTATAAAATGTAAAGTAAGGTGCATGAAGCACATTGATGTGAACCTGCGTTCAAATCAAACATTTAGCAATGTGCAGGGGAACTGAAAACATTGATACATTTTCTTACATTGTTTTCAAGCTGCATCATACATATATTTACTCAATTTATTTCCTATATTCATTCATACAATGTCAATGTATTATATAGTGCTTTATAGTGCACTTTGATATATAGTATAGTATAGTCTTTGTTCTATCATTTGGCCGTGAGAGGCAACAGAGAATGTGGAGTTAACTAGTGAAACCACCAGGAGAACATATAAACTCTGAAGCTAGGCAGCTAGTTATATTTGAACCCAGAACCTCAGTGCTGCAATGTATCAGAGGTAACAATCCTGCCAAATCTACATACATACATAACAAGGGCCGGTTCACCCCACAAAGTCCGCGTTCCAGAGTGTTCGGCCTCCGGAACACAGGGCAGGCGGCTCCCTGCATTCAGGGGCGGGTGGGGGCGTGGCGGTGCATTGAAGTCAATGGCACCGCAGCCACGCCCCGGAATGCAGGTACATTAGTGCTTGCGTTCCGGTCCAGTGCAATCTGCAAAAATTCTGCAAGCGCTTAGGGTCACACAGAGAAACTCATATTACCTTGGCGTAGACACAGCTGTCTGATAACCTCATAAAGGGACAGTATTTATCACACAGCGGACACATAGTAATGTTTGTGGCTTCACAGATTTCTCTGCTGTAACACAAAAAAACAGGACACCATAGACGACATTTCAAACATGAAAAGTGAAGATTTAAAAACTCATGTGTTTAAAAAAGTAAATACTCTTTTCAAGCAGATGA